GCAACCCAGTTTAAAGTTGGCGCATCACAACAAGGCTCTTGTCCGTCTCAGACCGAATGCGACGCTACCATCAACCAGAACAAAGTTTTCCTAAAATTATAGAAATGACCGCAGACTTAATTAAGTATGGGTCTCAGCGAGCTCCACATATATAAGAGAACCTAAGTACGGCGTATGTATGCATTGGGTCCAAACTCTAAGAGCACAACTCTTGTGCGCCATTTACAGGATCGTTTTCGGGCGGATTGATTGATGACCCAGCATTCTGGCGTATACCATAAGTCCAAGTAATCATTGCTGGATGTGCATTTGTCCCCAGTTTGGCACAGCTGTTGCTGACCGCCAGTTGCGATTACTTGTGGTAGAGCTTTCTCTGTCATTGTGAACTTTGACTACGAGTATGATATTGACAATCTACTAGAACAAGGTGTCTGAAGTTACATAAAAGCTTTTGATATTTTTAAGGCTCTCGTTCCTACAGTAAACTGTCAAGATAACTTACAATGCAAGGATACCAAGCATTGACCTTCGTATCCAGCACTAAGACACGTTCGCGGCCGCTACCAGCAAACTTTGGTTTTCCATACCAAAGACCATTCCGCCTCGTAATCTATAGGCTTTGGAGGCGGCTTCCTCATATCCCCGTCAATGAAGAACCATTCATCGAGAGAATCTAGACAATGATGAATGTGTTTGTGATCAATGTCCCGCGGGCAGACATGGTGGCCGCTCTCCTTCGCCTTCCAGTATCTTCTGAGAGCCAAGATGCAGTGAGCCTGATGGAAAAGCCAGTCGGCGGGCACTTTGAGACGATCAGGATCGCTGAGAAATTCTTTGCTCAGGTAGTCCTTGTTATCAACAACGTCTCTCATTCCTGGATACCGCTGTCTGAACCATTTCTGGTATCGGAGTTCGTCCGCGTCCATCAAGCTTGCAGGTATGAGGGCCTGGTCATCGATACGTACAGCCCACTCTCCATCTGGATAGGGGTTCTTCCAGTCGGACACGTTGTGTCTTGAAAATTGGAGCTGATAACGCGGACCCTCACTGTCCTTGAGGTCGTATCGAATCCAGATTCCCTTCTCAAAATGCTGTTGAAATGGCATCTTGGCACCTTCGCTATTAATCAACGCGAGGATGAGGAACACCACAGCTAAACTTGACCAGAAAGCCAAGGTGCGGAACCGGGTGGACTTCAATCCAGTGAGCCGACCGAACCAAGAGAGGCGGTTTGCAGCTCCCTTGCCATTGTGAAAGTTGAACTCGTTTTTTGTGACGGAGGCTTCTGTCCAAGACAGTGAATCAGCCAAGGCGGCTTCAGATCGGTTCACTGTGTTCGGGTATTAGCGCTGTCGGTCAAAGAAGAAGGGACGTAAGTCATACAAGTTGCGAAGCAGGTGATTTCGTCCGATGCATCTTCTTCGCCAACTTTGTAGAAAATAGAGATGGAAGGGGAAGATTCAGCAACCACAAATCTTGTCAGCCTCTGTGCCGCGTCCGAAAGAGTGAACTTGACGCTTTCGTCGACTTGGGTTGCGTAGAGAACGAAACGCTCACTTCCGACAGTGATGATAGCCCTGGCAGGATCTTTGCCAAGTGCCACCCTTTTGAGCAGATCTTGAAAACCGTTATCGTTTTCAAGTGAGCTCTGCCGGTCAGGGAGAAGACTGACGGCAAGATCCCTCTCCTCACTGGAAGACCTATCGTAAAACGCTTTCATGGTTCTTGTAACTAGAGAAAAGAGCTTGGGCTGATTCCGTAGCAAGTTGTATGGTTCACTATGTCAAAGGCAGAGGTGAATGAACCACTTGCATATTTGAGGCTCGTAGGACAATCGGGTAGTGTTCTTGAAATAAAGTGGAAACTTACGGGTTTAACGTCAACGTCGATCGACGCTCTGCATATTTCGGCGTTGGAAAATCATACCGTATCCCGGTCCAAGCTAGTAAAGTTTACACGGCCTGAGACCCTCGCGATCACGGCACAGTGCGAAATATGTCAACATTTCGGCGGAGGTACTTGAGACCAAGGTAAGTCTCATACATCTACCCCCCAGGCCTACTTTAACCTTCCGAAAATCATTCGTAGCCCACGTCTCGAATCCAAATCAAAACGCGAGGTTCAGAGTTGAAGTGGACTCCACAAAAGTCTTAACACAAGAGACGTCCTCCTGTATGCCACACAACGACGTGACGGCCTAACTGTTCTATTCTCAATTGCTTGCAACGCTCTGCGAGTTTACTCACCATGGACCGCCAAAATCTTCTCTCGTCTGAGGGATCTGAAGATGGCGATTATGCCAAAGTTGCCTTCCTGAGGGATCGGGAGCATCACCACGATAGACGAAAATACCTGCCGTGGTTATTGCACATCGCCGCGTTCCTAGGCTACGGTATTGTTTTTTTTGTGGCATTTGAGAGTGATAATCACTCATCGAAGCCAGCTACGAAGGAATGGCCTAGTATGTACAACCTATCCATACGCAGTCCTACCACATTTTCTGACCATTACAGACATCTATGACGACTTTTCCCACCGCGAATACGTCTGGAAAACCCATCACTACAAATTTGAGGGAGACCATTCTATCAAAATAGGCGACAAAGGATGGGAAGACGCAGTAGATTTCACCGAGTACGAGGGCCGGCCAACGGACAAGAGCAATCAGGCTTGGGCAGATTTGGTCCAACGTATGTGACCACTTGACATTTCCCCCTACAAACTTGTCGCTGAATCCTCAACTTGAAGTCGGCAGCACAAGCATCACAGAGGTAGAGAAATCTCGCCTTCCATTCGATACGACACCAAACGTCCTGAAACAGGGCGAATATGTTATTGGCCTGCAGGTATTCCATCAGCTTCACTGTCTCGTAAGTTCGTGAACTCTCCTCTTCGAGCAACTCAAGTGACCTTGATAAATATCGTAGATGAGTCTCCGAGAGCAAGTTTGGCATCCGACCGCGTTCAAATGGGAGAACGGAGAAGAACGCAGCTGGTGGGAGTTGCACCTGGGTAGGCAAGGTCATAGCCATCAGGGAAATATCGACTAAGCACTATACAGATCACTGCGTCGAAGCACTCAGGGAGTCTATCGTCTGTAATGCGGACATGACGCCTCTGAGATACATGTGGAACGAAGAAGAGTCACTGTACATGTTGACACTTCCCCAACAGTACAAATGCAGAAACTGGGACGATGTTTGGACCTGGGCGTCATCGAGGAACACGACAGGAGATTGTCCGAGGAACAAGATCGAGTCGGATGAACCGATGACGTGCCCGTTGAAACCACATACTCACGAGCATGGGGGGGGTCATTGATGAAGCCTAACTCTCGATCAGGTCGGTTCCTTCCGTGTGGGGTGATGTGACTAGTTTCCTGTGCAAAGTTGAAACTTAGACAGAGGCGTATGTTGTGGTTCAAGAGCTTCTGCGCATGCTTGAGGACAGAATTAAATTCGTCTTTTGGAGCTCATAAATGACCTTCCAGTCCGGAAGTGGGCAGAAAGTAATCATCAAAACTGCCGCGAACTTGTCTCAGAGGGGCCGACTTCTAATTTCAAAGTACAATACTAGCAGGGCTGTCGTCCCTTTAGCTCAAGCTCTATCAAATAGACCGAGTGATACTCCTCAGCACCAAGGACATGCGAAATCTGCGAGACCGCCTTGGAAATCCGTGGCTCTGACATGTTGCAGTTTAGTCATAATATGCTAGGACTTAAAGGACGGCAAGAATGCCTACTGGTAAGCAAGCAGGTGCGCTCCTTGTGACAGAGACGACGAGAACAACAACAGTATTAACGACGATGGCCGAAAGGGTGGCATTGCTAGTCACTCGACTGTTACGTCTTTCCATGTATGAGCCTCTTCAAGAGCCATCAGACAATGGGCATGCAGGGCTTTGTTCTCACCAGAAGACCAACCCGGTGGGTAGCGATGTATAGCCGCGGCTATATACAGCTATGCTCGTTACAGAACCTAACAGCAAGCCCTACAACCTAGTCTTACGAGGTTTTGCCCCTTGTGGTTTGTCAGAGCCCTCCCGGATAGGGGCTAGTAAGAGGTAGTAAGGAGTCCAAGCAACAAAGGAACAGCTCAGATATATATACAGCGCAGGGAGTACGCGTCGAGGGAGGAGCAGACTTCAGTAATTCATCATTCTACCCCTAACTGCAGTTGGCCTCTGAGAGCTTCCACCCTGCGTCAACATCCCAACTTGACAGTTTCCCTTGTGGCGGTATTACCTATTACGATATACTCCGGACGGTTACTGGAATGTTGTGTAAACCAGAAGCCTGCGGGCTCTGGGTCGAAGGATAGGAGATACTGGCGGAATTGCGTTCTAGGGACGACCATAGCACTGTCTCGGGCAAGCCAGCGGCACCCAGAGACAGGTTAAACACATAGTTGCCTTTGGGCACGATTTGGAGGACGAGCTGGACTGTATCTAGTGATAGCTATAGGCCTACGGCCCTCCACGCCATATACCCTTCGGGAGGTCTGCCGCAAGGGCGGCTGCGCCCTTGCCGCTACGGCGTTAAAATACAACAACAACAACAACAAGACCAACCCGGCTTTACTAGACTCCGTGGGTCGAGTTCACACTTTCAGGTACTTGTTGATCTACTGTTTTCCTGTTATTTCTTTTCTCGTTGGCTTCTTCTGGCCACACAATATCGATCAATATGTATCATACCTCGATGCGATGTAATTCAATTTCCCCGAAACGTTCGGCTCATTTAGCTTACCATCTAGAATGAAGCGCCCATCGCTGCAGATATGGATATTTCCTACCACGATGAGGAATTTGACAATGCTTTCATGAAACCCACAATCTATCGAATGGACCCAAGTCCGGCAGTCGATGCCGCTTGGGATGATCTTGGATTCACATGTGCGCTAATCAAACGACAGGATTATTGACCCAATGTCGAGATTTTCTGATGCTAAGTCTAGGGGAAAATGCCACCTTTTCACCGGAGCAATGGGTTGATGCCAATATGCCCTTGAACGCTGTCCGCGTCCCCGAGGACCACGGACCTAATTATTTCGGCGAAATCAAGGCATTCCACGATCTGCACTGTCTTGTAAGTCATTGGAACATCTCTTCATTTCTCGCAGAACCGGTCAGCGTGTTCGAAGCTCAAAGATCCTAATTAATACGCCACCTGCATAGAACCTTCTGCGAAAGGCGCTGTACTTTAATATAGACTATTATAAGTCAACGCCAAAAGTGTGGGAGTTTCGAGATGACGATCGAGTCATCAAAATGCATGTTGGTACGTGATTCGGATACATCTGGACCATCTCTGGAGCTTATCATCTTCAGGGCATTGGTTAGACTCGCTCCGACTCCAGCTAATGTGCACTCCGTCTCTTGACGTCCTCCCCTGGGTTTGGGTTAATTCGAGAGCCTGGACCCAAAAGAAGGAGCGCAAGCCCAGTATTATTGCAAACTTCAAGACAAGACACATGTGCCGGGACTTTGGTGCAATAAGGGATTGGTATCTTCGGCAGCAGGATGACAAGTTGAAGAGTGGTGAGCTGGGTCCATTGTTTTGTTGTTGTATTTTAACGCCGTAGCGGCAAGGGCGCAGCCGCCCTTGCGGCAGACCTCCCGAAGGGTATATGGCGTGGAGGGCCGTAGGCCTATAGCTATCACTAGATACAGTCCAGCTCGTCCTCCAAATCGTGCCCAAAGGCAACTATGTGTTTAACCTGTCTCTGGGTGCCGCTGGCTTGCCCGAGACAGTGCTATGGTCGTCCCTAGAACGCAATTCCGCCAGTATCTCCTATCGGCTCCCTAGATCCGATGATGTTATCCATGATGGCAAGGAATTCCCATAGACATTTGAATTACTTATCGCATCAAATTGAGTCTATCACGAAAGATTTCCCAAGAGGACCAAAGCGATGAGGGATGTCCTGGCTACGTGTTCCCATCATAATCAACATGTAACGGAAGCCTCCGAATATCACAGTCTGTCATCGTCGGGACCTTCGTGACCATCCTGTGTCATTTCTATGACTAGTCTTGAGAAAAAACGCCACAATTGCAAACGTATGATGTAGGATTCAATCCTACATGAAACTGAAAAAAATTGTCGAAGTTTGTCAAATCCAATGGTCTTCGGTCGCCCTATGTTCGTCCAAGAAATCATAGATCTCGCCATAGTCTCTACAGACATGCTTCCCATCCCATCCATCGCTTCCCACAATACCATCGGGGAATGTCTTTTCTTGGCCCTCGACAGCCAGATCGCCAGCGCACATAATGCTCTGTCGGAGGTAGTCAAAGCAGTGATTGACATGCCACGGCATCCGCTCACCGTGCTGGGATGGATTCGCTTTCAAGCCGGAGTATGCTTCAGCGATTCCGTACTAGATTCAGCTACGTTAGCTCTAGGAGACCAAACCTCCAATAGAGATCTCCAAACGTACAATGCAATGCAGTTGATGTGTAACGGATGTTGTAAAAACGGGCTGGTCAGGTCCTCCAAAGTCTTTGATTGGTTCGGGGAGGTCCTGATACTGTCGCGGATGGTCTACTTTAATCCAACCTAGACCCTCTTGGAAATTATACCTGTCAGTCATGGCACTTTTCACCAGCGGGTAATCCAAGAGACGTACTAGGTACTAGGTCTAGCCACTTCTGCTTGGTTTCATTGGTGAAGAATTTGTGTCCATCTTCGGGAACGAAGTCGGGGTCGTGCTTGAAGGTGATGATTTTTTGCGAGACTGCCGAATAGAGAGAGAAGTAAGTAGTGATTTCAAAACTTCTGAAAGATGCAGCATGAAGAGTGACGGCTTACATTGGGGAAAGACACCCGTGACGTCGCCAACGACTTCCCTCGGGCACTCTTTCGTCGAAGACTGCCTTGCTAGAACTAGCCACGCCACAGTGGCGAGGAGCACAGCATCTACCAGTGACCGTCTCGAGAGCAGCGTTGCGCGACACGCCTCCAGCCAGCGATGACGTCTTTCCAAAATTGGATCATGTCAATGTGCGTCCTCGCCTACTTCTTCTTTGTCCGAAAGCAATGGTTCAGCTCCAGCTCGTTCGTTCCATTGTTGCCGTAGCTCGACGAGTTTCTGTACGGGACTCATCTTGCATACATGTAAGAACCTGGGTACCAGTCCGTTGTCGAGAGAGATTCTAATGTGAAGGCAGTTGTGGTCTCGGTATCTACTGTTTCGCAAAGAAAGTTGGACTCGCAGAAGCAGCCAGGTCAATTACTCTGCCAAAGGGGCTGCACAGAATGTCCTCGTAGTCTGTCCAGACCTCTACCGGATCTCCCGGGTAAACGGGAACTTTGACTCTGCCCTGGAACTTAAATTGGTTGCAGATGTCTAGAGATAAGACGCGGTCGGCGTTTTCTGCACTCCGAGTTCCAGGTTCGGCCGCTTTTACTCCAAAGCACTTCGGACAGTATACAGTAAGTCACAAATCATGGACACGGAGCACACAATGTGCGGCGCAACTGGGCAGAAAAAAGCCTCCATCTGGGAGGAGAAGGATCATTAGGCCTAGGGCGTCTCGAGTACATGAACTCCTATGCTCTGTACACGGCTATGAACACATATTTGGTAGATTCTCTTCCGGAATTTCTTTAGTTGAGAAATTTCAATATGTCACTCTACGTACTTACCCAGGGCAAGGGTAGCACCTTTCAGAAACGAAGAGTAAATGATCCTGATCGCCAGACCAGAGCCGAACAGGGTGACATAATAAACTTTTGCCGCTTTGAGGACCTGAGGGGCTCGAGTAGATGAGTAGGGATCAACACGTCGCGAGTCTACATGGCCCCAGTGATCGATTCTGATGATGGACAGCTTGATACACCACCGGCGCGCACTCTCCCCATTCTTCCTTCTCTCCCCCTCATTGAGGAGGCTCGATCAATTGAGGATCACTCCAAGGCAATGTACAAGGCTTTGTTAATCGATGTTTCCAAGATAAAGCAGGTGTTTGGCCTAGCACTTGTGGCGCACTTGAGAAAATCAACCAGGCTCCTGTTGAATGCTTTCAAGGTGATAATGTCTGGAAGTAAGTCAATAACTACCTCTTACCGAATGTTGTACACTTACCTTAGGTCATCTTCCCAAGCAACGCCAATGTAGCGTCGTGCTTCCCTAGATTGATTAGCATCGTTTTCAAGATCTCAAATGCCGCTCAAGACAACTCACCAGCCAGTAGTTGCCTCATGCCAAATTCGCACCTCGTACTCCCGTGCGCATAAGAGTCCACAAACTCGTCTTCAAGAACTTTTTTCGTGAGGTTCCCGGGTGTTTTAAACCGTGACCTTGTACTGGAGCATGACTGGAGGCGCGGGGTCACCAGTTTCTTCTCCACCTGGGCCATCCCGCAGCCGCGATGATCATGAGAGCGTTCAGGGGATTAAATGGGGAATTGCTCGAGTGAATCTGAGTGGGTCTCATCTGAAGTTGATACCTCATCATCGTCGCTATCTGCGAGGTTCGTTTCCTGGCATTCGAACACTACTCGTCCAGACTCGAAGGGCAAAATGCATAACGCGTTCTTAGCTTCTGCGAACGTCCACCCCCTTTTACCAAAGGGCTCTGGCTTCTTCTCGAATCCTCGTTCTAAAACTTTAAGGCAACGATATGGTGTCTTGTCCCCATCTTTCATAGCAATAGGGAGCTCATACTCATGATACGACAGATCTCGAGGTACCAAGAATCCGGCATCGCTGTGCGGCGCAGAGGCGGCCCCTATAACAATGCTCGCCCGGGCATAAAACTCGTGTGCGATGCGTATTTTGTTCTGAATCATCTCGTCATCTTGGTCCTGGAGGATACAGAGTGCATCTGCCCAAAGATGTTGTAAGCCAAGAGCTAGAGTAACCTCTATAGCATCTCGAATTATCTTGGGAAGGTTCTTGAGAGGAAATCCAGCCAGGTGATGTTGCAAGTTTGTTAAGGTTGTTGTGCAATCCGGCGACTTGCCCCAATAGTAACTCAGGATAGCGAAGTCGGTACTCTTTCCCGGCTCTGTCAACCGAACTTGCCCATCACCGCAGGAGCCCAGATAGAGCAGGTACCTCGGCTGCCCAAGAGATTGCGTCTGCTGCCTGTATTTGTTGCATCGAGCATGGTTCTTTCGACACTCTTCCAGACAGCTGGCCTGTTACCTAAGTGTCCAAGGCCAGCACTCCTACAGCCGCAATACCTCTCAGGGTCTTATGACCTTATAGTTACACAGACGAAGGATGTAGCAGCTAGGATCTTCCAGGCCTGGCTCAAGACTGTGCCAGGTCAGCATACAGTCGTATACTCAGACGGCTCCAAAGCTCCTGACGGAGCTACAGGGTACGGCTTTGTTATCTACCGCAACAATAAACGTATAGCCCAGGGCTGCGGCCGTCTCGGCTTAGCAGAAGTGTTTGATGGTGAGGCGGAGGGGGCGAGGGCTGGGCTCCGACGGGCCCTTCAGACCTCCCAAGGCCAGCCTATACACATCTGCATCGACAATACCAGCGTTATTCAGGGGATTTGCGGTAAGGTCCCAGACTCCTCACAAGCGGCCTTCCTTGAGATCCAGGAGGTAGCTAGGATACACGATATACAAACCCATTGGTCACCTGGGCACCAAGGTATTAAAGGAAACGAAGAAGCAGACAGCCTAGCTAAGGAGGGAACAACTCTACCAGTCCTTAGGGGCCAACTAGCTACTCTATCAGGTATCAAGTGGCTTGCTAAAGAGCGGCCAAGACGCCAATATAGACGATGGTGGAAACAAGAGGCAACTCCCCGCTATACCCAACTAGGGCTCAAGGCTACCCTTGCTTGCCCTCCTGAACTTGGCCTCCCTAGGGCTGCCCTTCATCACCTCCTCGCGGCACGGTCAGGCCACGGGGACTTTAAACAATATCACCAACGCTTTAACCACACAGAAGCACTACTCACCTGCTCCTGTGGGTGGGTTAAGGAGGCAGACCATCTAGTCTACTGCCGAAAGACCCTACTGAGGAGGCAACAGTGGCCCACCCTCTACCCCTACAGCCGCCAGGAGCCCGTAGGACCTATAGGGTCCCTCGATCGCTACTTCAAGGGGCTAATCACTGACTCTGAAGGCTTCCAGGCCTTCCTCTGCGTGACAGACTTCTTCCAGAAGATCTGCCCGCGGTACTAGGAGATAGGTCATAACCTATCCTCCAAACGACAAACTACCTCTATTAAGAAACCAGATGGTTATAACGGAACTAGGGCACCAGTGGGAACTAGGGATGGATAGAACACATAGTAGCTCACGAGCAAGATTTGGAGGACGTCAGGATACGGCGTGTACTATATAGTATATAGCTAGAGCCTGCGACCCTTCACGCCACATACCCTCCTGGAGGTCTGCCGCAAGGGCGGCTGCGCCCTTGCCGCCATGGCGTTAAATAGAACAACAACAACAACTTACTATCCTAGAAGGGGTTGCTAGCCTACAGCAGGTTGGAGCATTACTAGGGAGGGCTGTAGTCGACCTAACAGCCTGTCTGACCTACGAGATCGAGAGGGCTCTAGACTTAGGGCTTACTACAACTCTTGTAATAATGGACGTTAAAGGGGCTTTTGACTCTGTCCTAAGAAACCGACTTGTTATTAGGCTACGATAGTAGGGCTGGCCTAATTATCTGATTAGGCTAATCTTTACCTTTACTTCTAGCCGATAAGCCCGAGTTAGGCTAGAGGATATAACTATAGAGGATTTTCCTCTGTCCTATGGGCTACTATAAGGCTCCCTATTATCCCCTATTCTCTTCTTACTTTATATAGCTGATATTCTAGTTGACGATTAGAAGCTATGGTTCGGCTATGTAGATGATATAGGTCTAGTAGCTACTAGCCCTTCGCTAGAGGATAATACTATAGCGCTGGGCCAGGAGATCATACGTATCCTCAATTGGGGTATAGAGAACAAAGTAGCCTTCGACTTAGCTAAGTGTGAGGCAGTCCACTTTAGTAGAAAACATAATCAGACAACAGGCCTACCAGATATTCAGGCGAGTAGCCTAACTATCAAAGCCTCAATAAAGCCTATACGATGGCTAGGGGTCTGGTTTGACAAGAGACTCACCTTCCGGCACCATGTGGAAGCGAAGGCAGCATCAGCAAAGAAGGTAGCCCAGTTCCTACGGCACCTGACAAACACTAAAGGGGGGCTCCCAGCAGCTGCAGTTCGAAAAGCGGTTATTGCTTGTGTCCTCCTAACAGCCCTATATGGAGCTGAGACCTGGTATGCAGGCTTGACCAGACCAGCTCTAAATAGTAGTACTAATACCGGTAGTAGCACTGCTTCACAGACAGATATAGTTGGTATAGGATAAAAGGGCCTAGTCCGTAGAGTCAGCAAAGTCATCACAGCAGCAGCGAGAGCTATCCTGCCTGTCTGGAGAACTACACCAACCAGTTTTCTTATCCGAGACGCTGGCCTGCCTACGGCAGAGGTAGCCCTCGAAGCAGTGCGGCTACGCTTCGCTATACGGTCATAGAAGGTTGACTAACAGCACCCCTTAGTCCCAAGGCTCCTGCAGTCATGGCGGCAATAGACGAGGCTTCAAAGAATAGCCGGCCTCTTACCTAAGTGCCCAAGGCCGACACTTCTATAGCCGTAATACCTCCCAGGGTCCTGTGACTTTATAGTTACATAGACGAAGGAGGTAGTAGCTAGGATCTTCTAGATATGGCTTAAGACGGTGCTAAAAGAGTATATTATTATCTATTTAGACGGCTCTAAAGCCCCTAATGGTGCTACAGGGTTTGGCTTTGTGATATACCGATACAACAAACGCATAGCCCAGGGCTGCGGCCGCCTCGGCCTAGCAGAAGTATTTGATGGTGAGGCTGAAGGGGCAAGGGCGGGGCTCCGACGGGCCCTGCTTACCTCCCAGGGACAGCCTATATACATCTGCATCGATAACACTAGCGTTATCCAGGGGATACGCGGCGAGGCCCTAGACTCCTCCCAAGCAGCCTTCCTTGAAATATAAGAGGTAGTTAGTATATACGATATACAAACCTATTGGTCCCCAGGGCACCAAGGGATCAGAGGAAACGAGGAAGCAGACAGCCTAGCTAAGGAGGGCACAACCCTACCAACCCCTAGGGGCCAACTAGCTACCCTATCAGGGATCAAACGGCTTGCTAAAGAGCGTATACGGCGCCAATATAGGAAGTGGTGGCAGTGGGAAGCAATATCCTGTTATACCCAACTAGGGCTTAAGGCTACCCTCGCCTGCCCCCCTGAACTAGCTCTGCTACGGGCTATCCTTTACCATCTCTTAGTAGCCCGATCAGGCCATGGAGACTTCGAACAGTACCACTAACGTTTCAACTATAGAGAAGCACTGCTTACCTGCTCCTGCGGGGAGGTAAAGGTAGTAGACTATCTAGTCTATTGCTAAAAGACCCTAGTGAGGAGGTATTAGTGGCCTACCCTCTACCCTTCTAGTCTACTCGAGCTTATAGGACCTATAGGATCCCTGGAGCGGTACTATAAGGGGCTAATTACTGATCCTGAAGGCTTCCAGGCCTTTCTCTCCGTAACGGACTTCTTCTAGAAGATCTGCCCGCGGTACTAAGGACTAGGTCTTGACCTAGGCCCTACTAACGACCCCCTCCTCGTAGAGGATCTGACGGTCACAACGGAACTAGAGAACCAGCGGGTACTAGGGACGAACAGGACACATAGTAGCCCACGGGCAAGACTTGGAGGACGTTAGGAAGAGGCGTGTACTGTAGAGTATGTAGCTTGAGCCAGCGGCCCTCCACGCCATATACCCCTCGGGATGTCGGCCGCAAGGGCGGCTGCGCCCTTGCCGCCACGGCGTTAAATACAACAACAACAAATCCACGCTTCTAGTGACGAACAGGCTGTCTGTTCTTCATGTTCAAGGCTCGCTTATTTGTAGTCGGAAGTGGGTTGGCCTGCAGATAGACTACGTGGAGAGGTGGAGTGGAAAGGGGGGTCACCACTATGTCAAATAGAACTTAGCTACCTCCCTATTATCTTATCATAAGGTCACGACCGTCAAAATTAACATCAAAGCCTCTTTGTCAGACAACTTCATCGCGTTTTCGTCTGCGATCTGAATTTGGACGGACGGCAAGCTTCATGAATAAATCAGAGGATCAGAAATGCTTGACTGAGACTCTAAAGGCTTCGACTCTATGGCATCAAACTCAACTAATGCCCGTTGATTATACATGTTATGGCAGTCCCGCCTCCTGAGCAAGTACAATTAGTCTAACTAGAAGCAGTGCCTCACCGCCCAGATGCAGTGATCATAATATTCACGAGAGAAGAGGACTAGATGCTCAATCTAGGATGCCGCCCACAGCAGAGTTGTCAGAAATAGACCGGGGACTAGTCGCGTTTTTGAGCCAACAATTCCCATTGTTTGGGCCAACATTTCCCAGATTCGCATTAAAGGTCGCCGCGACGCATGTTTTCGACCCTGAGTTGCGATTATATGATGCACAAGCCCTGAGGCAGTCCAAGTACGAGTAGACCACAACTGCAAGGATGTCTAGAGACCCCTTTGACCCGAAGCTCATGCCACAATGCATGGCAAATTGGGCAGTACCGTCAGAGAGTTGTATTTTTCTTGTTTCGCCCTCCATGGCTGGGCAGGGAAGCTGGATTTTTCCTTGTGTTGGAACTACTATCGGGCTATCGCTGTCCGTCGATGCAGGCACCAGCGCAGTAACTGTGGTCGTAACAACTGTAGTAGGCGAGGCTACGGACGACATCGCATCGCTATAAACTAACCATTAGAAATTTGCGGCGGAAGGAAAGAATCGACATTGTATCATACTCTCTTGCTTTTTGGACTGCTAGTGAACCCCCAACACCACCACCGACAGCGGCTATCACTACCACTGCTGCCAGCAAAACACTGAGAACAAATGTCACTGGCCTCAACCCGCAGATCGTGCGTTCTTTTTTGACGGGAATCGATGAATACGTTTCAGGTGTTGTCGGCGCATAGTAGGCTGATTCATGTTGCCGCGGTTGTTCCGGAACTACTTGCTTGTGAGATACATGAGGGACATACGTCTCGGGGCCGGTCGAATCCATCATGCATCAGGGGTTTTTTGCTCAAAACGAAGGAAACTCGTGGATTTCGTCCTCGAAAACCTCATTCCAAAAAGAAGAGAAGAGAAAGAAGACACAAAACATAGGCACATTGGGCAAATTGGTACCACTGAAACAGCGAGGGACGGCTTATGTAGTATCTTACTCACTTCCAAGGAGACACACAGGATTCTGAAGGATCCATTGTCATTGGTACTCTATCGAGATTTGTGGAAGTCGAAGACCAGGGATCCAACCAGAGCTGCGCACATGTCTCACTGAGCCGTGAGGATCAAGCAGGCTGATATGAGGCGCAGAAATTGTGCGACACACCATAATGGCGTCTCACGTATCTATTCGTCCGTTTTGCAGCAGGTGAGACTCGCTTGCATCAAAGTCATCAGTCTGAACCAATTGTTCTGATTTGGGGGCCAAAGGTCCAACGTGAAGCTGACGCCCAGAGTTCGTTGGAATTAGACATAGTCAACCTTATGGCTCGGCACGTAGGGTTTAGTAATGGTACATAGCCCCCCACGGCCCCTTTCTTTTGGTCAGAACTTTTTAATTTACGATCTGCCTCGTGAAGCAAGTCGGTGGCATTTGATTGAACCGGTGCCCTACCTGGTCTGTTATGCATTGCCAACAGTCATAAGTTATGAGATTGTGCATGTGAGTTCTCAACCATGGCAACTTAGGGTTTTCTTTTAACTTACGTCACTTACCTTACTGCTTGCAGTCACTTACTGTGTTGAGTGAATCTCCCAGTTTCTTGGCATGATGCAGTCGTCTCTGCTACTTGCCCATATTTCTGAGGATGATATTGAAAAGGAGTTCGTGCTCCTCCGGAAGTAATGTATCCCATCGAGTGCTGCAAGGCGACAATACATTGAGATGCGGGGGAGCAGCCAATCGGGCCACTTCGGGCCCCTTTTTCCAACCAACCAACGTAATTGATAATAGATACTTCCAATTATTAGAGATTCTGCGTATGAAATCGGTACCAGCAATCTTCTGAGTTACAGAGAGCTACATCGCACTCGAGGCAGTTTGGTGGATGTACCGTAGTAGAAATCATAGGGGCAACTCAAGCAGTGGATGTACCAGATGCGGTGCGGGGTAAAAGAGGGCCCCTTATGTGGAGCCAATGTACTGTCGCCTTGCAGCACTCGATGGGATAGCTACCGAGTTTGACATTCCCCGATCATAGATCATATATAAGAAGATACACCAGTGGTTTGAAGCTTGATCGAAGACATACCCATTCTTCGGAGCCAAGTTTACAAAAGGAAGTTTCCACCCGACATAGCCAGTTCATATTTGTAGTCCGGCTGGAACTTTAACCACATAGCCTCCGGCGTAGTCAATCGGTATGTATCCCATCGGGTGCTGATGGACAGCACTTTCGCCAAGGGCGGGGTAGAGCCAATAAGGGCTTGCAAATCTATTAAGTTAACCAATAGGGCTGCAGTACCTCTATTTCCTATAAATTTTGGGTGTGCCAGAGGTACCAGCAATCTTTGCTAATACATAACGGTACATTACAATCTAAGCAGCCCTTTCGAGTTGTCTGCCGTCGTTGCCGAGCGATGGCATTCCCAGATATCTCCTTTAAAGCCTTCCTATTACCACAATAGGTACAAGGTTAAGATACCTTTCTTGATCCCTTCCTATGCTGTTCCCATGGAATAGAGGTATTCCTTTTGTCTGTAGCCCGTCTAGCCCTAGGGCCCTCCCTAGACAACGGTGCTGTATTCGTCCACTGGGCCCACTGCTCTACGAGGCTCTGCGGAACGTATTGGAGGAACAGTTCAAGCGGGCTTGCCGGCAGCCCCCGTATCTCTTGGGCCCGGGCCGGCACGTTGAAGGGTCGGAAGGAGCCCGGAGGACCATGCTGAGTTGCCGGAGGTTCGTGGGGCCGGACTGTAGCTGCGTCACAGCGCTCGGGCGTACAGTCTGTATTACAGGCAGCAGTAAGGTCTTCTGGGTGGACCTCAACTACTATACAGCTGCGTATAGAGGTAATAGAAGCATTAGATGCAATAGAGGTATCAGAATCACCAGAAGACATCACAGTATCAATCAAAATGGTAAGTTAATAATAACGTGAATGATAAGCGAGTGAGACAGACAAGCGAGTGAGACACAAAACTGCGCCGATGATGCTTCAACACAAATGGAGACGTTTCTTCCACAACACATCATGGCATCCAGAAGTAATGAGTCAGGCATACAGCTGGCCCTTCAAGCTATCAGAATCAATCCAGAGCTTAGTGCACGGGCTGCAGCTACGATCTACTCGGTCAGCCATGCAACATTGAGTCGACGATTGAAGGGCTCTACATCTCGAAGCGACAGGATACCGAACTCGAGGAATCTTACTTTGCTAGAAGAGCAGACGTTAGTTGATCACATTCTCGATCTAGATGCCCGATCATTCCCTCCCCGGATCCGTGGTGTGCAAGAAATGGCTGATCGACTGCTTGCTGATCGCGACGCGCCTCCGGTTGGGAAGCGCTGGGCCTTAAACTTCGTCAAACGACAACCACAATTGCGGACGCGGTTTTTTCGGAGGTACGACTACAAGAGGGCCCAATGCGAGGATGCAGAGGCTATTCGCGGCTGGTTCGCTCTTGTGAAGAACACAATCGCGAAGTATGGTATCGATGAGTTTGATATCTACAACTTTGATGAGACTGGCTTTATGATGGGCCAGATTGCATCTGGCATGGTTGTCACAAGTACTGAAAGGCGTTCAAACACAAAAATGGCGCAGCCTGGTAATCGAGAATGGGTTACAGTGATTCAAGCCATCAACTCGCAAGGCTATAACGTCCCGCCGTACATCATCGTTGCAGGCCAATATCACCTCTCAACCTGGTATACAGAGTCAGGTTTCCCGGACGACTGGGTCATTGCGACGTCAGAAAACGGATGGACAATAAATGAAAGAGGCCTAGATTGGATCCAGCACTATGATCGTCATACGAAACCACGTTTGAGAGGCCAATATCGCCTCCTTGTCGTCGACGGGCACGAAAGTCACCACTCAACAGACTTTGAGCTATATTGCAAGGCAAACAAGATCGTTACACTTTGTATGCCGCCTCATTCGTCTCATCTACTCCAGCCCCTTGACGTTGGGTGCTTTGGTCCGCTAAAGACGGCGTATGGGCAACAAATTGAGGATAAGATGCGGCGGGGCGTAACCCACATCTCAAAGGAGGACTTCTTTCCTGCATATCGCAGCGCATTTAGTCAAGCGATGACTGAAAAAAACATCCAAGGGGGTTTTAGAGGAGCTGGGCTTGTTCCTCTGAGTGCAGAAAGCGTCCTATCAAAGCTGGATATCCGGCTACACACTCCAACGCCTCCAGCATCACTACCACAGACACCTCCGCCTTGGGTTTCAAGGACACCAAACAACCCAGTAGAGGCAAGCTCTCAATCCAACTTTATTAAGAGTCGGATCACTCGTCACCAAAGCAGCTCCCCAACCTCTATTTGCGAGGCTGTTGAACGACTTTCTAAAGGTACAAGAGGCATCATGCACCAAGTAGCCTTACTTAGATCTGAGGTACAGATTCTTAGAGACGAGAATAACCAACTCAGTCGACGACGGAGAACTAAGAAAACACGCCTACAACATGGAGGAAGTCTTACTGTAGCTGACGCAGCAGATATACAGTCACAGAAAGATGTGACTGCGCAGGTTCAGGAGGAAATGCGTCGTACTAGTGGTCGCAAACTGAGGGCCGAGACAGGTCAGCGACGGTGTGGCGTTTGTGGTCACCCGGGACACAATTCACGAACGTGCCAGTTTATTGAAGAGATGTCTGAAGATGAGGATTATGAGTAGTTTGAATTGAATTGATGCTGTTGATGTTGATATGGAAGCCAGTTTATCTCATCGGCGCAGTTTTGTGTCTCACTCACTTGTCTGTCTCACTCGCTTATCATTCACGTTAGTGATAATAATAGGCAAAAGAGCATAGGGATGAGTGACGTATCGTCAAGTACCCCTTTAAATGCGGGGTAATGGTGGATACATAGTGGGTATTTCATGGTCTTGGCGAAAGTGCTGTCCATCAGCACCTGATGGGATACTCAGCTTCAACATCAGAACAGATCTGCTTCTCAATCCCCGACGCTACAGCAGCCTCTGCAAGAAGCTGGATGAGACAGGAGTTCTCCATCAGGGTATACAGAAACGCCGCCTCATCAACCGTCTTCCCCGTCGTCAGTAGACCTGTTGTTGCCTAGAGCCTCAGCAATTCTCTCCCCTTCAGAGGCTTCGAAAGCTATGCCGCCAAACATGTCGTGGACGGCATGATCCTTGTAGAAGGTACAAGCGTCTTGGTTGAGCATCTCCAGTGGTCTTCCGAAGGTCGACCACGCCTTGCCGTGGATACTGTGGAAGTGACACGCCGCATTGACGTCGGGTCGGGCTTCGTGAAGGGCAGAGTGGATGTTGAAACCTGCGTTGTTGATACAAGCCTACAAGAAGCGATGTTAGTTGGTTGACCCGCACATTCTGGTTTCGACGGAGGCACGATAATCTGGACTCACGTAATTTCCACCAATGATTTCTCCTTCCATGTTGACATGGACCATGTCGCTGACTTTCATCAGACCGAAGTGACGAGCAAGGCTAGGAACATCAAGACATGGCGAGACAGCTGTACTCCAGGTCGCTAAGGATCGTGCAACTTACGGGTTGATCCAAAAGGTGTCAGGGTCAACCGGGTCACGAATCGAGATGTGACCAGCCGTGCCTTCGAGATATCCTTTGCGAGCAATGACTCGGAAGGCGCCGGCCATACGCTCCAGCATCCATTTGCGTATTGGATACACCTAAGAATATCTCTCTATACATCTCTACATCCTCTCATTAATCTACATCATGTCTACGACTTCCATCAGGGCAACAGTTGCTCCAACTCAAGACAACTGGGGCCGTGGTCTTGGCCTGTGCTCCGGTCAGCGGGAGCCCGAGTACAATCTCTTGCAGCCATTCGATGCTATGCCGCAAGAGGTATTTGGTCCGACCGTCTGGACGAAGGAAGATCTGGATCGAGACACAGGGCGCTGGCTCTATCATTTCACCGAAGAGCAGATCAGGCACATCGTTGCTGCCGTCCACGAGATCGAAGCAGGAAGCCTTCAACTCTCTGAAGTCAATAAGTCGACTTTCAAGCTCCCTAGCCCTTTTGTGGACTTTTTAGATCGGATTCGAGACCATCTGATCAACGGGATTGGCTTCTCTGTGCTTCGCGGCCTTCCCGTCGACTCTTGGTCCACTCGACAAGCCTCAATCGCATACCTCGGCATCGGTTCCTACATCGGCCGCCGCTTGAGCCAAAACCGGCAGGGACACATGCTGGGTCACATCAAAGACCTTGCAGAGGGCAAAGAAGTCAACGGCGAAGGCAGGATTTATCGCACGCAGAAAGCTCAGACGTACCATACGGACGAAAGCGACATCGTGGGCCTACTTTGCCTCCACCAAGCGATGGAAGGCGGGGAGTCACAGGTGGTCTCCAGTCACAACATCTGCAACACCCTGAGACGAGAAAGACCGGACATACTACGCCAGCTATGCCTACCACAATGGTTTTACGATCGAAAGGGGGAAACAAGCGAGGGAGAGAAGGAGTGGATGCGCACGCCGGGCTATTATTCCTACAAGGGAAAGCTCAGCATGAAGTGGGACTCTTACTATGTCGGAGCCCTGCAACGGTTCTGGGACGCTGGGCTTCTTCCGCAGTACACGGATTCCCAGCGTGAGGCGATCCAGGTGATGGAGGAGATGTGCCGCCGATTATCTCTAGAGATGACGTTGCAGCAAGGTGATATTCAGTTTGTCGCCAACACTCATAATCTCCATGCGCGATCTGCGTACAAGGATGATAACGATGTTACGAAGAAACGCTGGTTACAGAGACTTTGGCTTGCTACCTCGGAAGAGGAGGGTGGATGGCCGTTACCGTTTGCTGATTCTCAGTATGCCAAAAGAGGAGGCGTCCAAGTTAATGAGACTCCTGAGTCGTATCCTACTGAGGCTGAGTAGGCGGTTGCTCTGCTGTTCTGCGAGTTCTACTCTCAAAAGAGTGAAGTACTAACTCGTGACGTCGAATTTTGATGTTATCCCGAAGTCGAGATCTTGAAAGTTGGGCACCAGTAGATGTAATTGTGTAAAGAAAGAACAGGTGAATCACAGAGTTATTATCCTTCTACTCGTCTCTGCGTGATATCCTCTTATCAATATTAGACGAAACCTTGCCTTTTAGTCTAATCCGGATGAGGTGATCGCGATCATTAGTCACGGCACTTTCAACAAGGTTTGACGACCGCACTGTGTTCGGAACACAAATTCGCGCAAGCCTTGGCCTTGATCACGTCTATAGACAGTGCATAGTGGGGTAAGCTTTCCGTGATAACACTGTCTTCACCAATAGTCCCTGCTTATCTCGACGCGGTCTGAGAGAGGTGTGGTGTTTTGCCGCAAACTCCCGGTATTATGCCATCTGCACCATGTCCAACTTCTCCTCACATCAATCAAAGTCTCCGAGTGCTGACCTTGCATTCACGGGTGGGTATTACCCCGGAATATTCACCGCAAGCGCCTTGATGAGGAGCCCGTCCGAGCCAGCCACCGGCGATCCGCTTCCGAGCATGACCCCACGATGCCGCCGCCTAAACCGGGACAGCGGTCGATGACCTTTACTGGGTACGTACGGTTTCTGCTCTGTTCTCCGAGTGTGGGAGAATGTCTCGGACCACTTTGACAAGGGGGGGCTGGGCTGACTTGTGCGCGATTCATTGGGCGACAACAGGTGCTGGACCTGCAAGAGGCGTAAGGTTAAGTGCGATGAGAGGGCCTCTGGCTGTGGGAATTGTGAAAAGATGAAGATTCCTTGTGAAGGTTATGGTATCAAGCTTCAGTGGATCAACGTTTCGAATCCGTTTCTCGAGCAGGAGAAGCCTGGTAGTAGCAGTAATGGCAGAGGGAGAATACGGATTGGTAAGATCATCATCCCATCACATACCCTTTCTGCCCACACGTCTTGTTATTAGTGGCTGACACACGTTGGGTGCCCTGTGTAGGCCGTAATACAGGGCCAGTATATCAGATGAAAGACATCGATTCCTTCTTGGCATCCCTCGAAGAAGCACCAACCTCAAAGGGTATCATACAAGAAGGCCCTTTTGGTCTCTTTCAGGCCCACGACAGCAGTCATGAACCTGGCCAAGTTTATGACTTGGAAAGTCCGGATATTGCAGTCTCTGACTGCTCATTGGCCAACAGTGCTCACCACAACTCAGAATCGACCGGGTCCCAGAAGGCTCCAACAGCCTCTCCAATTTACACTGACTGCGCAAGCTCAAGTCCTTCTTTCTCCACGGCACGAGAGGACGGATCTCCAAATCAGGTTTGCTTCGATGTGGAGCTCGCCAGAACCTCGGAGGATGATCAAGCCACGCCAGAGTTCCAACTCCAAGAAGAGTTCAGCTCTTCGCTGGGTGACATTGCGGGGCTATTGGAGGACTCAATCGAGCTATTGCCAATACATCCGCAAACTGATATTTCATATACGAGACTGCCCCGACGGATGTCTACAAGCATATCAGGCGACGCAGTCATCGATAGACTTATGCACCACTACGTGGAAAACATCGCGAGTCTACTTCAACCGATTCCACACCCCCAGAATCCTTATCGAAAGCTTTACGTCCCGGCAGCTCTTCAGGCAATATCAGAATGGCTACCGAAAGCCAAGATGGCCACACCCACCGTCTCTTCGGTAATTTTCCACTCCCTAATAGCATCATCTGCTCTCCATCTCGGGAATTGTGGCCCCGAGCAGACGAAATATCTCACCCTCGGGTCGCAGCATCGCCAAGTCGCGCTGCATTGTTTACAGTCAGCCATCAACCCCGCCATGGCAACATCGGAGTACAAACTCCTCATGGTGGCCATGTTATCAATGGTGACCATTAGCAACGTAGGTTCTCTTGTCAGCCCCCTCCTTGACGTGAAATGGATGCTAAGCCTCGCCACATAGTTCACGACAGGCAGTGATGCCGACTTCGTGGTCCACCTGCAAGGCACAAAACAGCTGCGGAAAACACGGCGCCGATGGAAAGTTATCAGCAGAGCAACTCGGCAACTGAATGAGATTAGCGACTTCCTGTACCTCCTCACTCGCACAGTCTCATTCTCCTTCACACCAGGACCATGGCCGTCGGAGGGCGCAGAGGATGTAGACGAACCAATCGCGTCGCAGGCGGAACCCGACAGCTGCTTTGGATACATGTACGGCATCACACCCGCCATCACTGTGAATATTGAGGAGACGTGCCGACTGGCGGAGTATCTTCTCTGGTACGAAGGCACTGAAGAGCCCATTCCAGAGGGACTACTCGAAGCCTGCGAGATCCTTGGCGACCGACTATGCAACTGGTCTCTAGACCTCGAAGACGTCCGCCAAGCGATGAACCAGGATGCCGAAACCCTAGAAATCTTCCAACATCACGCGAATGCTTGGCATCTAGCTGCGGTGATCTACTACCACCGACGCATCCAAAAATGCCACAGCGAGAACCATCATCAGCTCCTAGCCGAAATCGCCGAACACATGCACGCCGTCGAGGACATTAAGACACGGTCGACATCCACAAAGACCAATTTTATGGCCCCCATAACGTGGCCTGCCTTTGTAGCCTCGTGCGACGCCCGCGACCGCGAACCTTGGGAGCACTGGTGGGAGAGGATCAAGTGCTACCGGGTTGCCAACAGCCGGACGCAGTGGAAGGTGGTTCAACGTTTGTGGGAAAGACGGGATGAACTAGAGCAAGCGGGCATTGGGACATTTGATTGGATCCAGGCGTTTAAAGACTTTGGGATTGCATTGTTTCCAATCTGATCATTAGATTATGCTGGCGCAAGGTATGGGATAGAGGTTATTAGCGCTTTGATGATACTCCTTCAGACCTTTGAATTTCGTACGTCAAATTCAGTCTGTATCACCTCGGCAACTCGTTGGATCAAAAGGCCGACTTCGCCAGAACTATCGACTGTCCCCTTCTCTCATCTTCCTCGGAGCCTAGATCTTGAGCCCGTTGAGCTATCCCAATGCAATGCAAGTCAACGGAATGCGGTGCCGCACGCAGCGTGGCAGCTAAGAGCTCACAGTTCCAGGCCGCGGGCCGAGCATCGTCCTCTCTCCCCGCATTCTCCAAGTGACATCACGATCACGACCAAGACAAACCAAGAAACAACCCAACTTTCTCCGCTCCGCCGATCCCTCAACACATTGATCCATTGATCTAGCAAATGCTACCCAATCCCAAAACTTCCCTCCCACCACCACGTGGGTCCGTTGTCAGTGCGGCCAACATTCCGCTCACCTTAGTCGAATTAAGCAACGCGGGGTAAACTCCCGCCCTCGTGCGTGGATATCTGACCTTTTTGGTGGTTTTCCGGAACACAGAGTAGCCGTCCCCTATCGTTTCCATTGGACGTTTCAATCTGCCGAGCTTCTCCGATGGGGCTCACACTCACACACACCCCCAGCCGCTGACGCTGGGAACCTTTGGCAACCTGTTTGGGTCGTGTGGGTTGGGTCCGAACCACGGACAGATACCCGAAGGTTTATATTCAGGCCGTAGGGCGCGAGAATGGAGGTTAATCGCAGACATTCCATGTGACTGCGCTCGAGTAACAGTCAACCTACATCTGCTCGACCACACCTGAAGCTTCAGTGAATGTTGGCCCCAGACGATAGTTGCGTTCGAAGGTCTACTTTGCGACTGTGGAGACCATCAAGGAATCTGATTTGGCATCGCCACGATGGACTCGTCGTACGCCTCGCGCCACGAGAAGCTCGAGATTTCAGAGCTCGAAAATGGCGAGCATGAGCCTGTCACAAAGAAGGGGGAGATTGAGCGAATCGATGCGATAGCCACGGCGCAAGGCACAACACTGGCTTCCTTTGCCCATCTGGACGAGAAGAAGATTCTGAGAAAGGTGGGGATTTCCTCTCATCTCATTGTCAATGAATGAAGAGGCTGACCTTTGGACTCTTAGATGGACGTTCGACTCATTCCGATGCTAGCTTTGCTCTATCTACTCTCATTCCTGGACCGCAAGTTCATACCCTGTCCTTCATTCCAAGAGTCCTGACTGACATAAATAGGTGGAAACATCGGGAACGCCAAGATTGAAGGCCTCCAGGAAGATCTGGGAATGAGTGCTGACCAATACAACTGGTGCCTCACCGTCTTCTTCTTCACCTACGCCGCGTTCGAGGTCCCGAGCAACCTGCTACTGAAGAAGCTCCGTCCGAGCGTGTGGCTGCCGACCATCATGGTTGCGTGGGGCGTCGTCATGACCTTGATGGGGATCGTGAAGAACTATCACGGCCTGTTGATCGCCCGGATATTCCTTGGAGTAACCGAAGCCGGATTGTTCCCCGGTGTCGCGGTAAGTCACCCTTGTTGCGTTATGTTTATCTTCTCGGTCGGTGCGAGCGACAGTATGGCTGATGTGCAGACTAGTACTACTTGACAATGTGGTACTGTCGCCACGAGATCCAGCTCCGCCAAGCCATGTTCTTTTCGGCGGCTTCCATCGCCGGCGCTTTCAGCGGTCTCCTCGCGTTTGCAATCTCCAAGATGGACGGCATCGGCGGGCTAGAGGGGTGGCGCTGGATTTTCATCCTCGAGGGCATCGTGACCGTGCTCGTAGCGACCATGGCGTTCTTCGCCCTGCACGACTTTCCCGAGACGGCCAAGTTCTTGACTGAAGAAGAGCGAGCCTTCATTGTCTTCCGACTAAAATATCAGGGTCAGGTTCAGGGAAAGCAGGAGAATCGCGTGCAGGTTGCCGAAGCGGAGGAGTTTAAGTGGAAATACGTCGTGGACGCATTTACCGATTGGCAAATTTGGGTCAATATCTTTGTATACTGGGGTGTAAGACTCTTTCTTCCTCTGACCACTGTTACTCATGGACGGATACTGACACCGACTTTCAGATCGTTTGCCCGCTCTATGGAATTAGCTTGTTCCTTCCGACCATCATCCGAAACCTGAACTATACGTCCAGCACAGCGCAGCTGATGACTGTCCCGATCTACATCACGGCCGCGATCCTCGCCGTCATCGTGGCATATCTATCAGATAGAGTGGGAAAGAGAAGCCCGTTCATCATTGGGTTCTTGTGCATGATGATTGTCGGATTCTCAATGTGAGTTGCTTACCACACCTGGGTCAAAAAAACCCTATAGCTGACCAACTCACTACGCAGGTGCATATCCAGCTCGAACCCCAAGGTCGTCTATGGAGGCGTCTTCATAGCCGCTTGCGCCATCTATCCGGCCTTTCCAGGAGTCATCAGCTGGCTCTCCAACAACCTCTCCGGAAGCTATAAACGCAGCGCGGGAATGGCACTCCAAATTGGTGTGGGAAATCTCGGTGGTGTAAGACATTCCGGTCCCTAGCGACCACGTAAGGATTGATAAAGCAGATCGTGCTGACCTTGATTAGGCCATGGCATCCAACTTTTATCGACAAAAGGATGGCCCGCGGTACATCCTGGGCCACGCCCTCGAGCTCGGATTCATATCGGTCGGTATCATCGCGGCGTTGATACTCATCTTCAGCTACACCGGCATTAACAAGAAGCGCGACCGGAAGATGGCTGCTGGAGAAGACAGTAAGTTTACCGCGGAGGAGCTGTCAGGGCAGGGTGATCGAGCGGTCACTTTCCGGTACATGTGGTAGAATTTGTGTGGCAGAATCCTCAGGAACATAGTCGCCAACGCCATGGCAGTTAGAGACATGAAATATGAGAAATCCCAATTGAATATGGAATGAAAGTCTCCGAAATGCTGTCGATCACATAGCAACGGGTGACCGCATCATGCAGGCTCTATGAGGCGGCTCAGCACATATCCCACCCGGCGTTATGTCCTTACCGGCTGCTCATACCACATCTACATATCAGTCACAGAAGATACCTACAGATGCAGAAATGTTCGTTACAACGCTGCAGGATTGACTCGCGACATGACTGATTCGGGAGGGGTATTCGGCAGGGCCTGAGTGGGGCCGAAACGAGGGCCGGAGCCGGGCAGTACCGTATTTAGCCCCGGCGGATGGTACGGCAAGGTTTCTGCAGATGGACGTCGTACATAACGCGGCAGACACAATCTTGGAACGGCGGCTATTTGTGGCGGAGCATCTCTGAGAACGGCAAATTTTCCAAGGCTTTGTTCATCCCAACTTACAGGCTGTGCTTATTCCCAGGCACCCTCACATCTTCCAATGTAAGTCTGCAACAGCGCCCTCATTACGCGTTTTCTCATCTCATCGGCTTCTCACTCAATTCAATCCTTTTTGTTGTGTTTCAATTGAATTGACAATGGAAATACTGTCCGAACGCCGCAAGTGTGAATTGACTTATATACCCTGGCAGGAAAATCATGAATCCATTGAGATGTTCTTCAGACGTCTTAAGCGGATCATCTGGAGATGAGTGACCCAAGCAGTTGATCCATCGTAAACGACGAAATATGTTAATTATGCGCATGCAAGGCGATCCTGCCGATATCATAATGCGTAATCTGCACGTCACATGGAACGTTGATCTTACCGCTTACTTGCTCTCCGGTAATTGCTCACGCAAACTGTCCCTCTAAGCGCACTAAGGTGTGGTGGGCGGAACGCCGGGGTTCAGAGGTGCGGGGCAACCGAATCCGTCCGTGTCACTTGCCCCCCGGACACGGCAGCCCGCAGCCCCGCGCCAACGCAACTTCCCCCGGTCAACACTCAGCTTTCCGAACAACGTGGCCTGCTACCGTGTCCTCCGGGCGCCGTTTCCTTGACTTCTCCAGATAGATCTCACACCAGGCGTCGTGGTCTTTTGTCTCTGTCACTACGACAAATACCAGCTCGGTCCGTCATTGTAGACGTCTGGCTCGAATCTCCCAAGAGCACATCTACTCCTTTCTCCTGAACCCGTTGCTACAGACACCATGGCCGCTACTCTGGATGCCGTCCTCGCCAAGTATACCGCCTCCAGCGACGACACAAACGACAAACTGCTAGGCGCCTCATTCATCATCATCAACAAAGATGGTCAGACTTCTCCCAATCCTCACAACTCCCAATCTAACCACAACTACAGAGACCCTATACAGCAACGCGGCAGGCCGCATTGACTTTCCCAACGAGGCCCGCCCCTGGGACCTCGAAACGTTCACCTATGTCGCATCACTCACCAAGGCCATCACCTCCACCGCCGTCATGCAGCTCGTCGAGCAAAGCCGCCTACGTCTCGACGACGACATGCGCAAGATCGTGCCCGAGCTAGGAGACATGCAGATCCTCCGCGGCTTCGACGGAAACGAGAAGCCTATTCTGGAGGACAACACCGCGCCCATCACACTCAGGTACTAGAACGGTCAAAGTATCCTGAATATTCAAATCGCATCGTGTACTAACGTAAACCAACCCAGGATGCTTCTAACCCACACCGTCGGCCTGGGCTACGACTTGATGCCAGACCTCCTAAAATGGTCCAAATCCATCGGCCGCACCGTGACAAACCTCTCTGGCACACTCGAAGGCTTCAAAACGCCCCTGTTCTTCGTCCCGGGGGAAGGGTGGTACTACGGTACGGCCATCGACTGGGCAGGCCAAGCCCTGGAGCGCGTCACGGGCACCACCCTAGGCACCTACCTCGCCGAGCACGTCTTTGATCCGCTCGGCATGAAGGACACGGGCTTCTGGCCGGAAAAGATGCCCCACGTCGCCGAGCGTACCGCCGCGTTCCAAATCCGTGGCAGCGACGGATCGTCGCTCGTTCCGGGGTCTAGTCCGCGCAACGTGAGTCCCAACGCCGTTGACAGCGGCGGCGCGGGGCTTTGGACTACGGCAAAAGACTACAGCATCTTCCTCTCCGCAATGCTGAATAACACACTTGTGAAGAAGGAGACGGCAGACGAGATGTTCCGGCCGCAGCTTGACGAGCGACAGGCGAGACAATTCGAGAAGCTCACGGCTGAGTGGGGCGGTTCGTTGGCGGTGGAATTCGATCTGGATATGGAGCTTAATCACGGGCTGGTTGGGTGTATCAACATGCGTGACGTGCCGGGGAAGCGCAAGAAGGGGAGCTTGCAGTGGAGTGGCATGTGTAACAGTCATTGGTGGTTGGATCGTGAGACGGGTGTTGCTGGAGTTCTTCTTGTCCAGTCGCAGCCTCATGCTGATCCGGTGGTGACGAGGTTGTATAATGATCTGGAGAGGGCTGTTTATGGAGAGCTTCTCAAGACTGCGTAGGCTTGTATTGCCATGTGGACAACCAGGGTTGTGTGCGCGCGCGCGAGGACACAATGCCAACGGTACCTCTGATTCATGTTATGAGGCAGCCTCGTCAGGCATCTCCATAGACTCGAGTACATTCTCCAAAACCTTCCTGCACTGCCTCCTATAGCGATACGCCATGATCTGGTTCCTCGTCGCCTCCGCCTCCTCCATCTCAAACTCGGACTGATCAAGCCGTTCAAGCTCCTGCAGCACCTTGTGCTGGATAATACCGATGGTCTGGAACAGCAAAGGCTGCGTGGCCGCAGGAACCCGCCCAGTCAATATCATCCTCAGCCTCTCCAGGTCTGCTTTGCTTCCATCATCGTCACCACCACCACCACCACCACCACCCTCCTCCGGCACCGGAATCATCTCGCTCCGCTGCTCAGGCGTCGTCTGCGCGAGAACGAGCTCCCACACCATGACATCCTGCACATGCCGAAACGGAGGCAAGATGATGTTCGCGTCGACATCGTCCAGCAGCTGTCCAGATCGAGCGGCCACTGAGCTCGGGTCAGACACGGGCCTCAGGGAAATGAGGTAATCCTTGGGCTTGTGTTTCTCGGATGCTGCCCCGGCGCCGCCGTCGCCGCCCTTCTCCGCCGCAGCCTTGGCGCCACCACCACGCTTCTGGACGTGGACGTAGTCGTTGTGCAAGACCTCCGATTCGGGGATGGTGAAGCCATACGCCAGCATGAGTTCGGCGTTCGTCTTGGTGGTGCCGTAGTTGTTGAAGACTTGTGCGCCTGGGGCGTACGGATCCAGCGTGCGCAGGCCGACTGTAGCCTCGTCGCCCGCAAGAGCATCGTCAGACGTCTCCCACGCGATCCGGGCTGTCGGGCTATGGTTCCCCACGTCGAAAAGGGGCATCAGCAGGGAAAAATCATCAATGGCGCAACCGTCCGGCAGCGAGAGGGTGTGCTGCCTGTGGGCGGGGATAACGAGGGACGGGCGGAAGCTCCGACTGGTGAAGATGCAGTAGGCCCAGTTGTAGAGGAGGCGTGTGTAGTCGTGCCGGGCGGGCCAGTCGCCAAAGGCGGCGAGGGCGTGCTTGTGTTCGGCCTTGAGGCGGGTTTTGATCTCGGCGATGGCGACGTGGGCGTTTGTGTCCTCGAGGAGCTCGACGTCGTCTGTGGGCCAGAGGGGCGGGAGGGCCCAGGCGGCGAGGTTTGTCGGCTGGGGGAGGGTTCTGATGTAGGGGTGCCAGAAGGAGGATGGACCGAGGAGGTATTGGTTGATGAGGTAGAAGCGGCTGATGACGTGGGGCGGGACGGATTCGAGGAACGAGGGAGGGAATGCTTGGGAAGAGGAGGAGGAGTCGTGATGGAAGCCTGGATTGGGTGTGGTGGTGGCGTTGAGGTAGGAGAGGGTCAGGGCCAGGGGACAGGTGACGACGGTGTCGCCCGGGTTGACGCCGGCGTTGTCGGGGGAGACGCGGAAGGAGTTTCCGGTGTTGGGGTCGTTGTAGACCTCGACCGACGGGTGGAGGGCGGCTCCCTGGGACTTTGCCCAGTCGACTAGCTCATCCATCGTAGCTGGCTGGGCTGGCTGTGTGCGCACGTGGAGGGGGTGGGTGAGTGGAGGTGTGAGTGAGTTAGGGAATAAGTGTGAGTGTGAATATGAGTGAGTGTGAGTATGTGGATGAGAGTGAGGATGTGAACGAATGAGTGAGTCTGTGAGACTGAAAGTGGCAGTGACAGGGTGTGAGCTAAAATAGTCTCTTCACTTTTTTTTTGGCGCCGGCAATGCGAGTAATTTGACGTCCGGGTCTAGACTCAAGGCACAGATCTTAGAATTGTGGACCCTTCTTGAATTAGCTCGTTCTTCAGCAGATTGGGTTGACTGGCTGTGAGTCGTTGAATCAATATGTGTAGTGTGTCAGTAAGTGTGATTGAGGTTCAGACTTTTTTGGGCGTTTTCTTCAGCTTCGGCGTCAGGGTCTCCCCGGTGTGTGCGGGGTCCAAAAATCCAAGCTCGGTGAAGGTGGGGGTGTGAGGTCAGGTAAAGTGCCTTCACCGAGAACTTGGAAACTAGTCACAGTGGTGTCAATAGAGTGGAAAATCAGTGGAGGACGATGATCGGACGTTTTCCATCGAATGAGGTGGCTTCTTTGACATGGGATTGGGCGATGAAGAGATGCAGGTCCGTCCGGCCATCCCTGCGCATCGTTCGTCTGACGCTGGCGCTGGAGAATTCTTGATGGACGACATCTTGGTGTTAGTGAGGCGACTCATGACAGTGACATCTCTACGTGGTTCGGCAGTGTGGTCGGCCGGGATAGCGGACGGAGCTTGGAGTGTTGCCTTTTCTCGTGATGGTCTCTTTCAGCTGCATACCTCATGAGGCTGCCGATAACGGAGCGAGCCAAGTTGGCGTCGTATTAGCATAGTAGGAAGAGCAGAGGCGTCGAATCATGTGGGCTGCTCCCGAAGCCGTGTGGCGGTGGTGTAAGGTGACGTGAGCCTCGCGGCACTCATACGCAAGTTGCAAAGGCCCTCGGATGATACTCTTGAATCTTGCTGGAGTGAATTCGTAAAGACTTTACATCGTATCCTTAGGATGCCTCTCGCCTCAGCTATAGACAGTGCCATTGTTCCGCAGTCGCTCATTCGTGGCCTGCCCCTTTGCAATTGATATATCCTGCGTCCACCTGAACAGGAAGAGTCAGGTTTCCTGATACAGCTCTCATCGACAAACAGCTGAAACCTCACTTAGTACGAAATGACCGGTCGTAATCTGGCAACTGGGTACTGCCATATCCAATAAAAATTACCATATATGAATTACCTTAGAATGAGATAAGTTCACATGAGATTCATTGAACCAAAGTGCCCATGATCAAGACAGCCATCTCATTCATTTCGTACGAAGGTGCAATGTATGTAACACTCTAGACAGATTCTAGAATTCCAGGCTCACATCTTTCAAAGCAGTCTTTCTAGCAAACAAGCCTCAATGCCCCCCAGCCTCAACACCCTCCCCATCACCATTCCCAATCGCCAAAGACGCCGCCCCCTCCATAGCAAAACCAAACACACGCGCATACCACCCCTGAGACCAATAACTCATCTCAATATTATGCGGCGCCCCAGGAATCACGCTCCCCTCCACCCTCCGACTCCCCCTAAACGCCGCAATATACTCCCTCACATCCTCCTCCTTCGACAACCACAGCCCGTCCCTCCCCGCAAGCCCAATCAATACTGGCGCCGTGATCCGCCCCGCAAACTTCTCTTCCCAGTAAACAAGCCACTTCCCGCGCAGGTCCGCCATCTCGCGGTACGGCATCGGGCGGTCCAGGCGCGCCGTGTGCGTCAGCATCGCAGTGTCCACCGTGCCGGGCGGGAACATGAGCGCCTCCTTTGCTTCGTGAGGGAAGTACACGTGTGACGGCGGGGGGTCATCTGCCGGCGTGAAGTCTCCCGTGCGCCAGTTTTTGACTGCGTTGCCGAAGCCTGAGATGGTGACGGCGGCGAGCGGGTAGACGGGGGACGTTTCTTCTGACCATAGCGCCGCTGCGACGCACGCTCCTGGTGCGCCGAGAGAGTGACAGTGGAGCGCGATGGCGGTGCATCCGTTCGGCACGGCGAATTTATCCCAGAGCGCCGGGAGGATGTCCCGATGGAGGGTGGTGCCCCATTCTTCGTAGAACGAAGAGGATGCGGGGATGTCGTCGCCAACGGGAGTGGTGTCGTTGTACCCCGGGCGGTCGAGGGCGATGAAGGGCACGCCAAGGGCGAAGCTGGTGTGGCGGGCGGTGTAGGTGTCGTCGACGTCCAAGTAGGCGCCGGAGTAACTGCCGCCGTGGAGGCCGACGATGAGGGGAGGGTATGCCGGGCGGAGCGGGTTGGATGCCGTGGATGGCGGGATGCTGTGGAGCCCGGAGACGGTCTTGCCGTTCGGGAGTGTGAGTTTGAAGGCTTCCATTGTGCTGCTGGACGCGTTACTCGGTAGGGATGCGACACGGAAGGAAACCTAAATGAATTGATGCAGGGAAACTTAGATTTATCTTATACCCTGCGCCCTACGACCCTACGTCGCATCACGTCTGTGTTAGCTTCATCATTCACGGTGAAAACTGGGGGGATTTAGTGCCCCTGGGCTTTCTCGACGGTTAATAGCGGCGGTTAATAGCGGCGGTTAATGGCGTCGGCATTTATGATTCGACTATAAAGAAAAAGTAGTGGGCGATCGATATATGATGGGTTGCATGCTATTACGATTGGGCCGTTTACGAGGGGTTTGGGGTGGACGGCGGAGGTGGTGGAGGTTTTTTTTTTTTGATACAGGTAAGGAAGGATTTGTTGGATCGGAGTGTGCATTCGTATGTGCATTTTCATTCTCTCGCTGCGCAGAAGCCGCTTGATGGGTGAGCATGTTACAGGTTATGGAGAGAGAGAGAGTGTGTGTGTGTGTGTATTTGATGAGCATGTTTGGCGGAGACTCTGAATGATATCCCCAAGTCGAGGAGGGAATGAAGCTGGACCGATGCTAAGGTATGTGTGTGTGTGTGTTATCCCATCGAGTGCCAATTGGCAACAGGTACATGCCCTTGAGGGAAACTGACCATTCAGGAGACAGCCAAGACTTCTTCTAGCCAACCAAAAAGCCTAGATTATGGATACTTCTGTTGTCTATATACTCTGACTATGAAAGAGGTACCAGCAATCATCCGAGTTACAAAGCGCTACTCCACACTGCAGGCACCCTGACCTCGTCTTTTTTCTGTGGGATCGTGAGTGTTGTTGAACAGGGCCTCGTACTGCGGCTTCATTGGTCCACTGTACCCACGATTCAACCAGCCTCAAAGGCACATACTGCTGAAAAAGCTCTAAAGGGGTAGTAGATAGACCCCGTACTGTTGCGGCGCGGTAGGGCACGTCGAGGGGGTTGAATTGGCCCGGTGTGCCCCTTTCTAGCGGAGGCGATTCGTGTGGGCGTACAGTTGCGTTATCACACCTCTCGGGCCTACATTGAGCTGTACAGGCGCTATCAAGGTCTTCGGGAAGTACTGCGACGGTGATATGTGAAAGCGCTGACGAATCAGACGCATCAGAGTCGCTTGAGGACATCGCGACAGTTGCCCATATGTAGAAATGTTAGTTGTGGTGGTGAACGCAGCTGGGAAAATATAGGGGTTGATGACGTACCGTCATGTATTCCCGCGGTGAGGGGGCAAAAATGGGTCAAAACTGGGCATAATGTACCTGTTGCCAATTGGCACTCGATGGGATACCCCTTAAACGTCGTCCCTCTTACTAGCGCAGCAGTGCCCGTCTAGGCTAGGTCGGCGAGTCAGGTCAAGCTGTGTGCGAGGTGGTCGAGTAGTTAAATAAACAAATGTTCCGATGAGCTCAAATTTCGGATTGACTGAGGAACGCACTGTTCGATTCTCCTTTCAGCCAGGGGCGTGAATTATAAAGTCAGCAAACCCCCTCATAATTCTTTCCATTTTCCCCCCAGCGGTTTGAAGTAATTTCGTGGATGTCCAGAGTGATCGCTCCCCCTCTCCCACCACATTCCCTCGGTACGAAGACTCGAGAGAAGTCCGGTCCTCCTGCAGGATTCCGACTCAGTTTTTCTTGACTTCAGACGAATTAAGCATGCCAGCGTATGCATGAGAAGATCCAAGATTCTCGAAACGAAACACCAAGTTTGATACCCGTTTCTCAATTGGTGAAGCTGGTGTCTGACTCGTGGCATCACAGTAGCATGGTCTTTTTCCCACTTGATTGATCAATTCTTGTGTACAGACTTTTCAACCCTTATCATCTGCATAGAATCAGGAAGACCATGGCAAAGATACAACAATCTCGTGTGCTCACTGAGTCCTGGATATCGCCCTACTTACAGATTAATACGGCTTCGCTTTGACATAGCGAGCTTGGAAAAGGCTGTTCGGAGCTGCCGGGATTAGCAAAGTCCGTTACCACAGCGGGCCCCACGGCTCCCACGGGGACTTAGGAGAGTGAGTGTGATGAACCCCTGGCCCTACCTTACTAGTAACTTACACGTAATCTGTGTGTGTGTGTGTGTTATATTTAACGCCGTGGCGGCAAGGGCGCAGCCGCCCTTGCGGCCGACCTCCCGAAGGGTATATGGCGTGGAGAGCCGTCGCCCTATAACTATTGCTAGATACAGTTCAAATCGTCCTCCAAATCGTGCCTTATGGCTACTATACGTTTTATCTGTCCCTGGTTCCCGCTGGTGCCCCAGTTCCATTCTTGAATTTTGCGGCTTAAGGCCGGATATGTCTGGAGAGGGCGGCCTGCCGAAACAGGCCCCTCGTACATGTTCTGATTTGTACAAGACCATTCCTGCCCCAGTACTTGGTTGACGACGTGTACTCGCCGCATATCCACTTTTTCTTGGTCGGAGGGTGTGGATATGAAAAAACCCTGGCGAGGGCCCGGAAAGGGTCCTAGGCCCCGCATTGGGCTCTGCCCTACCCTTCCCACAGGTAGTTAAAGCAGTTGCCGGCGGCTGGAATCGAACCAGCGACCTCTGGGCTCCAGAGGCCTTGCCAGGTGTATGCCATTACACCACGCCGGCCGATGCTAAGGTAGACACGAGGGACAAAGGCGGGAAGCATAAGCGCTATCTTAGTCGTCGTTGATGACCATCTAGCCATGTCAAACATAAGATGACATTCACGTCTCGCTGTTCTTGTAGACTCTATAGGCAAACTGGCAAACTTGGTTTGGCATGCTACTTCATTTGACATGGAGGGTTTTCTTATCACGACCTGACCAGAGTTCAAGTCCAGGACAGCCGTCTTAGAAGTTCGCGCGACTTTACGACTGCGGATCCGTGCCTTCGTTACCTAAATGCTTAGAGTTCGAATTGCAAATGACTATGGCCAGTCCAGGTTCGCCATCCGCGGACTATGGCCTCATAGGCAATCGGAATCGGCATTCAGAATCCACACTCCCTTGTGTTTGTCGGGATCGGTCTAGAAGACGCATGTGTTCTTCCACCTGACGTATGGAGACCTCGCTCGATCCATATATGCGACTGAGTAGTGCATCCTCAAGAGGTATTGCTGACAGGCATCTCGGCCAATTTCAATGGAAACGCAGACATATAGAGATTCCCATAGCAAGTAAGTGGTGGGTGTTCCTGCCGGCGTTGCGCATAGAAACACCTGCTCCCATCCGTACTAGCTTCCATTGCCTGGCGAAAGTGGAATCGAGCAGCTGCAACAACGAGAGGAGCGTCGCAGCTCAGTCGGGGCTGGCTCTGACGTATCTCGTCGCGAAGACCCAGCCAAAGCTCGTGATAAAGACGCCCGAATCCTGGCTTGTGATGTACAAATAAATGGTGGCCGAGCTGTCACGCTGACAACCCCACGCCAACGGAACGCCCCTGGCATAGACATTCTAGAATAACGGCACAAGAAACCGGGCCTGAAGCCAAGTTGATGGACGACATGATCTGAGGAAAGTTGGGCCCTCGGGTCGCTTTGATTGAGATGATTCGTCATCTAGATGCGCATCAATTGTATGATCCTGAGAAAGTGAGCTCTGCACCATTTACCATACGTACTTAGCTTGCTTCGGTAAATCGCCGCGATGACGCGTTGCTATGGATCTAGCAGCGTCAGGCAAGTGTGAAGACATCTGTTTCGCCCTGACTTTGAGCAAGATAAACTTCACCAAAGAGCAGTCGAAAAGATTGCAAAGGTTGGAGGATCCTCTCAACTTCCCTAACCAGCCTGTAGCACAGCGAATCGCTTGGTCGACGGAATGGAGAATCGTTGCGAAAGTTGCCCTGTGCAGAGATAGCACGCAGGCGGCAGGATCCCGGGACACTTGAAGAACCATCTTTAAGCTGTCGTGCTATGCTCTCCCAGTACAAACGGGTCTTTGATATCCAAGATTTATGAGACAATCCGACGGCGATAATAGCATAACTTGATCGATGTTTTGTGGGACTGGATATAAGACTCTCTGCTGTCAGTGATATGATTTCAGCGAGGGACTCCGGCGGGACTCCGGCGGGACCTCTCAACGACCTGCAGGATCCCCGCAACCGTGGCCCTTGTCCCCGTTGCACTACCTGGGGACCCAAAACTAGCCGCTTCCGCACTTTGATGGGGCGCCGAGGATAGCGTCGTGAGCCGTGGCCCTTTCGGCACGAGCAAGCTAATGATTGGGGTGCAGGTCGAGCTCGAAGGCCCTCGCATCATTCTCCACCTCGGTGTGCTGGAATAAATCGACCATTCTTGCAACATCTGGTATCGTCAGACAAATGACTAGCGCTTCAGGAGAGCACTGGATCTTGGTTACGGAAGGCGAAGACCGTAGAACGCAATGAACTAGCTAGCCAAAGGAGCAGGCCATATTGACCACCAGCTGAGGATCGCATTGTTTTCCTCGATGACGCTGTTCTTCGAAGAGGGGCAATTCCGGTGTCGGACGCCTAGGAGATAGTGGTGATGCCCGCCTGCTTCTCGTCAACCTCGGGTTGGCAGAGGGAAGAGGGTGTGCTCGTTCGAAATGGCTGCCGGCAGCCGCATGTAGGCCTCATGTAAGATGAAAAATCTGTCGGATGCGCGTGGTCATATTTACCCTTCACGCGTCGCTCAGGACTCGAGGCGTTCTCACGGCTTGACGTTGGTGTGTGTGGTGGTCCAGTAGGGATGGGTACCTACTCACAGTACGATGATGGTGTCCCCCACGGTTGATAGAGTCGAATACCCGTTGTTTGAAGATGGCTGTCTGCTCACCGACTGTCCATGGGAGAAGCAGCACATTGATGGCACCGATGTTTTCGAGGGTGTATGAGATGAGATGCGGTGTGGTGGTGCTACTTGTGGGAGGGACCGACATGTCCCGCCGTGCTGGCTCGTATCTCTACGAACAATTGGTGTGGTGGTGATTTGTTGCCTCCTGCGACGTTTGTTTGCACTGATTTTCGTTTGCAAGAAACACCTTGGGAGAAACACGCACCTCTTGCGTTTGGAGTAAAGTGGCGGGGCACTCAAGAGGTGTTCATCAAGATCGGATCAGGTGGTGGAGGTTGGCGGTGCCTTGGAGAAGCAGCTCCCTCAACCTGAAAGTTAAGGTAGCAGCGAGTGGGGTGATGGTACAGTGGCGTATTGAAAGTACGAAAGGTACTTCCATAAGCCAAGAGCGGTTTGAGGTATCACGAAGTCCCAGGAGGTATCTGTATCCCGACTTGGACCGGTTTGGGGAGATATTGAATGGTACAGATGCAGTGTTGAAGTAAGCAGCAGAGTTGACGACATTGGTTCAATAGTTCAGGTACAGGAGCAAAGCTGTAGTTTGAAAAAGTCTGCACATCTGATTTCTGGTTTCTGGTTGCATACTGATGTGCCGTACTGCAAGGTAACGCTACGTGCTGCAGTACTCGGAGGTGAGAAATGTCGTGTAACTGTGGCTTCCAACGACGAGTGCCTCACCTAACGGCACGACCCCAAGAGAAGAAATACGGCACAAATAAAGGAACAAGAAGGCGGGGATGTCAAGCCCAGCAAGCCCGGTTGTGCCAAATGCCTCATATGGCACACCTTGGACAACATTACCTACCTTATCCCCAAGTAATCCACGAGATCGGATGTTTCCCCCCACAGCCGTGGCTCTTACCCCATGTCGACGTACTTGCTCCCACGCGGGGTGTCGCCCCTGTCTTGACCTGCCATGCGTCACCTGCGAGTTGAGAATTTGAAATGGTGTCTTTACCTACTTAAGGTATGACCCGTCTCCAGGCCTCCTTGAGGAAGAAGTCGAGTACCTACCTAATACTTAGAATACCTTACGGTACGTATCGAATCTGGCCTGACGTTGCGTGACCTCACGGTGACCGTTCGCGGCCGGCCCCACTTGACCGCTACCCGTCCGAACGTACCGGTCGGGGAAGAGCCTCCCCATGCCTCCTTCCTGGGCCCTGCCTACCTTAAGGTACCTTATGCAAGACTCCTCCTTCTCCTTCCTCCCCTTGGTGCTCTGGGCTGCCACTTGCCTTGCATTGCCCGGTATCTATACCAGATACCACTTTCCCTTGCTTGTTGCATGGCACTCCGCGTGCGATACTTACCTCGATACCGCCTGTTAAACATGTGCCTGCGGCAAGGTACGGTCGGTACGGCCCAAGACATGTTCAGTCCAATGCAAGGTGCAAGGTGCAAGGTGAGAGCAGGTGAGGTGACCTCCAACCGCTCCTTCACAGTTAATGTCTTCTCCTGCCCGAAGGCGCAGATACGGCAGGAATCGTCCCACGGTGGCTTCCCTAACCCGGTCAACCTCTTTGGCTACCTTCCATTGCCTGACCTCCTGCCTTCCTGCTCTCAACTCATCGTGACATCCCGTGTTGCTTTTCGCTGTAGTTAATTCCTAGTCCGGCAGCTGCCTTCCAATTGATCCTTCCAATTCATGTCCCATCCATCCCGTACTCCGTCTGCCCTCCTTTCCCAAAGCCTGCCTGCCACCTTTGCCACGTTTGCCATGCCTTGCTCTTGAACGTGGCTGTCCACGTTACCTTCTTCCCTCCCAAACTCCAACCTGCCTCACAACAAAACCCCTCCTTCCCCTCGTCTCGAATTTTTCTCTCTCTTCTTCACTTTTCCACCCAGTCAACAATTCATCTCTCAAGTCAACGCTCTGTGAGGTAGACAATTGTGCTCAGCATACCTCGACTTCTACCCTCCAAAAAGCATCGAATACATTGACGATCCTACCCCGGCCTTACCTTGATCGACTCCTCATCCAAAAGCTCAATCCTGCCAGACACCGCCATCATGGTGAACCCCAAGCAGCCAGGCCGCCAGTTCTCCCTGGGAGCTTCGGCTCACCGCAGGAGACAGATGAGCACCATGCATGAGCAAGGCAATCATTTTGGTCCAGCCTTGACTGTGAGTTGACCCCTCCTACCTGTTCACGATGTCGTCCTTCCCGCATGTCTTACTTTAATGGCCTGATGCGTCCATTCACACATTGCATGAGACAATGAACCGAAGCTTCCGCTCACTCAATTCCTATCAGCCTTGATTGTTTTCCCATCTCCTTCACTTTGTTGCTGTGTCCCTATTATTTCTTGCCGCAAAGCTTCTGAACGAAATTGCTGTGACTAACAAGACTGCCACAGACCCTCTACTGCGGTATCTCTGCCGTCTTCGCTGACTCCCACACTGCTGTGGTTGCCCTTGCGATCCATGACACTGTCTACCTGTTGGACTTCACCGTCAAGCATATCAACCTCGACGACAGCTCCCAGACAGGTAACGATGCCATTGCCGACTATGTCATCAATACCCTGGAAGACTACGAGCATGCCAACTTTTCCAAGTTCATTGGCGCTGGTCTTCCCATGACCCTCAAGTACATGAGCCAGACTCTGTGCTCCCGCCTCTGGCTCGAACTCGACATCGTCCCGGTTGTCTTGCGCCCTGATGATGAGCACAAGGAGAAGAGTTTCTGGGACATCAAGCGTGTTGATGAGCAGGCCGACTCCATGGCCCGCAAGTGCATCATGTAAGAAGCACCCCCCCCCAACACTGACATGTGCTATTAAACTGACGAAAAATGCAGGAACTTTGGTCCTTCGCTTGTTCCCCTTCTCCAGGTTGGCTGGAGAGGTGTCGTCCAAACTGACGCGGGCTTCCGTGTGCAGCTCAATACGATCCAGAACCATAAGGACACCTGCGGGGCTCCTACTTGGGATGCCACCATGTTCTTTGCCAAACAGCTTCGTGAGAACAAGACCAAGATTGCCTTCTTCAGCAGCACCCCTCAAGGTGGTGGGGTCGCCCTGATGCGACACGCTCTCGTCAGGTTTGCTCGAACTATTGGTGTCGACCTGACCTGGTATGGTATGTTGTTTTCCGCATTGGATCGAGACCACGTTGCTGTTGGAGAATCGTACGGATCTGACATCATAGCTAGTGCCCAAGCCAAGGCCCGGCGTCTTCAGGGTGACCAAGAATATCCACAACATCCTCCAGGGCGTCAGCCACCCCGATCAGCGCATTTCTGCTGAGGAGAAGCAGTCCATTATTGACTGGATCACGGACAATGCCAACCGTTACTGGCTTTCCGAGGGAGGTCCTCTGCGACCCGCCGAAGAGGGCGGTGCCGACGTTGTCATGGTGAGCTTTCCCCAAACCCAGTGTCCCCCGCTCGACCCAGCTAGTGTAGCTGCCATCCCCAAGTTTTGCTACCCCTCCCCCCACTTGCACAGCTACCCCTCCACGGATGCATCCAATGTAGAATCATCTCCACAGGAGCTCTCTCGTCGGGTTCGCCCCACATCCCAGCTACGATCATGGACGGCCTGCTAACTCAGTGTGCCCCATTCAGATTGATGACCCGCAAATGCCTGGCTTGATTCCTCTGATCAAGAAGATTACACCGGATCGTCCTGTCCTCTACAGATCCCACATCCAGATTCGCAGCGACTTGACTGCCAAGGCTGGTTCCCCTCAAGAAGACATCTGGAACTTCTTGTGGAGCAACATTCAGCATGCGGACATGTTCATCAGCCATCCCATTCCCATCTTCGTCCCGCACACGGCGCCTCGGGAGAAGGTGGCCTACCTCCCTGCCACCACTGATTGGCTCGATGGTTTGAACAAGCCTCTCAACAAGTGGGACACTGGCTACTATGGCCACATCTACAACACCGCCTGCCGTAACCAGGGGATGACTGAGCTCGAGTGGCCTGCACGCAAGTACATCATCCAGGTGGCTCGCTTCGACCCTTCCAAGGGCATCCCCACCGTGATCGACTCCTATGCCGAATTCCGGCGTTTGTTGGAGGAGAAGGGCGAGACGGACATCCCTCAGCTTGTTGTCTGTGGCAATGGCTCAGTTGACGACCCTGATGCGAGCATGATCTACGATCAGACTATGAATCAGCTCGAGAAACATTATCCGCATCTCGTCAAGGACTGCAGCATCATGCGCCTCGAGCCCAATGACCAGCTCCTCAACACTGTCATCGCCAACGCTCACGTTGTCCTTCAACTTTCCACCCGCGAGGGTTTCGAGGTCAAGGTTTCGGAGGCGCTGCATGCTGGTCGCCCAGTCATTGCGACTCTTGCTGGTGGGATTCCGCTTCAGGTCAAGGACAATGTCAACGGCTTTTTGGTCAAGCCCGGCGACTACAAGACCGTTGCAAGTCACCTGTTGAAGCTCTTCACCGATGCTGACCTGCACAAGAAGATGAGCCATGCCGCCGCTACTGGTGTGAGCGATGAGGTCGGCACTGTCGGCAACGCCCTGGGCTGGTTCTACCTTGCCGCCAAGTGGGCCGAAGTCGGTGTCAAGCCTGGTCTGCGCTGTGATGAGCGTTGGGTCAATGACATGGCCCGCGAAGAGGCCGACAAGCCGTACAGCGACAGCGAGAACCGTCTACCCCGCCACTTTACCGAGAAGAAGGACATTCCTGTCGTCTCTGGAAAGACTAACGGCCAGAATGGTGATGAGGGTCACTGAGGGTCTGTGGCTGCGTTTCTGCGAATGAAAGAACGATGAGGTCGTGACATGTTGCGGCTAGGACTTGGGTCCCTTAAGAAGTGACCGTATCGTGAAAAAACGGCGGTTCTCGGGGTCTTTTATAGACTGAGATGTATGGTAGCTAGATGGCTTTCTTGGTCAGTAAGGTACTCGAATTGATATCCCCACTTCAGTGTTTTAAGCTGCAGATGTTATCTTTGACTGATGGTGAGAGATAATCAGAGAGATGGTGTGAAGATACGAGGAAATGTTTCGACGACGACGATTATGCTGGGGTGATCCCAGATGGCACCAGGTGACAGGTTTAGCTGCCAGACGCCGACTGCGCCCCGCAAGCCGCAAGCCGCAAGCCCCGGTCGGATTTCCGATTGCTACATCTCCTGTCTCACCGCGAATCACTTGAATCAGTCAGTTGTCGCGGCCAGCCGCGCGTACCAGCGCACCGGCGTACTTTGTACCAGGGCCTTTTGTACGGCTGATCCTTCCGATTGATAAGCCAAGCCAAAGCCATAAGCTGCCACCTCCCGTGCTGTGCCCTTTTTCTCTCCGTTTTGTTTTATCTCGACTGGACATTGGCTCGACTGTGTTTCTAGATTTTGGTGTCTTTTTTACTTTTAATCCGCAACTGTCTGTCCCAAGGTGAACATTATGGTTCACCTCGTCTCGGCCGCCGCCGTCTTGGTGCTATCTGGCCTAAGTTTATCTCCGGCTACGGCTCTCGTCTCGGCCGAGCCAGTTTCGGCGCCGCGATCGCCTCACCATCAACCACATCAACCATCTCGGTCGACATCGTCGTCACTGGACTTCGCGCCGAGCGCGGACCAGGCGCGGGAGAATGCGGTGCATATTTTCAATGCCGTGCATTCTGCCATGCGACAGTGGGGTTCCTCGTTCCATCATAACGGGCTGGGTCTCATTCCGGCTACGGTGCCCAAGGGTACGCTGATGTATCACGGTACGAGGGCGAATAGTACCCCCGACAGCTTCGAGTGGCTTGCGTTTGAGATGGAGCACTCGGAGGGGTTTGCGAGGAGTTATCGGGGTGGAAGGGGGTCGCCGCCTCCGAGGCCGCCTGGGAAGGGGAAGGGTCCCGGGGGTCCGCCTGGTGGCGGAGGGGGTGGACCGCCGAAGGGACCGCATGATTCGGAACCTATCCTCATGATGGGAGGGGAGGGAATTCAACGGCCTATTGGGGCAGATGACGACGACAGAAAGAAGCCTCCTCCGAGGAGACCCGGTGGACCTGGCGGCGGCGACGGGAAGCCTGTGCGGGGATACTTCCACACCTACCGCGCGAAGCGGGATCTGAAGCTGCTGTATCTCGACGGCATGGCGGCGGGCAAGACGGGGATGGGCACGCTCGACACGCAGGATTTCCTGCTGCGCGGACCCGAGGAAGCGCCTGGGTTCGGGGAGTGGGATCGCGCGGCGGAAGTGTGCGAGGTTGTGAAGGCGTGGGGGCTGGACGGGGTGATTCGGATGGAGATCGGGTTCGAGGCGATCTACTGCGATTTCCACGACGGGTTGGCGCTCGAGAGCGTGCTGAGACGGCCGTGGAGCGATGTTCCTGAGGCGGGGGTCGGGATCGACATGTTTGAGTGGGCGAGGGCTGTTGGCCAGCGGTATGATGGGATTGGAGGGGGACGGGTGAGGCTTGGGTTTGGGGGGATGGTGAGCGGGTTGTGGTATCCTTTGAATGTGAGTAATCCGAATGGGCGGGTTGATATGCCGCGCCTGGGACGGTTGACGGAGGCGGAGAGGGGGGTTATGCTTGGTCGGGTTGGGGAGATTGTGAAGGGGGCGGGGTGGGATGATGGGAGGATTGATTGGCAGGGTGTTGTTGATATGATTGTTACCAGGCATGGCGATCGGATTGAGACTTTGGCGGATGAGGGGGCTGTTGAAGGGGATGAAGGGTTTGTGGCGCAGGTTTTGACTGTTACGAATACGTTTGTGGATTATCCGCGGGATGCGGATGATTCTGCTGTTGTCGAGAAGGAGGAGGAGGAGGAGGAGGAGGAGGAGGAGGAGGAGGAGGATGGGTACGTGAAGGAGGCGAGGGAGCGGTGCGTGAAGCACTTTTTGACACCGGCGACGGTGTGGAAGGCCGAGTGGACGCCCGAGGACGGAATGATGTACGTTGCCGTCGAGACTGTCGTCCAGAGACTCTGCGGGGATCTGTTCGATGTCCGGGGCCTCGTTCTGCGGGCGATGCCGGCGTTGACGAGCGCGTTTTCCGAGGCAGAGGTCCGGCGCGTCGTTGACGAGAGTCACGGGGATGATGACAAGAAGCTCGAGGGCGCGGTAACAAAGGGCCGGAAGGTGATTCAGTCGCTCAAGGAGGATCTCGGGTGGAGCACGTGGAAGAAGTGTAGGCCCGGGTGCGGCGTCGGGGAGGTTTGCTTCATTGCCATGTGGCCTTTTGGGCTGAGGGAGGATCACTTCCATCCGAGCTGTCAGAACAGGAGTTTGTTGGCTAGGCGGGGTGGACGAGGGGGTGGGGAGGGGTATTGGGAGTGGGAGCCTAGGCCTTGAGAGTGTTGATGAGGGTGGTGATGATTATGAAGATGGTTGGAGGGGTAGATTGTTGTGGTGTTTTGTTTTGGATCGAGCCTGGTGATGTTCCCTAGATTCTGGATTGCTTCTCAAGATTCTGACACGAGCTGGCTTTACACATTTTCCGGAGGGTGAATATGCCGCCGGTGACGTGTATTAACCTTCAAGCGAGAGGGCCCTTCAGTCCGTTTCACCTCATTCCTATCACTAAGCGATCCGCGTAAGTTGGTCGAGGGTTTTATGAGGGAAGACCCAAGTGAGGATCTCAGTCCCCTCGACTACCGGATCTGACACGATTGTTTTCCTTTCTTCTTGCTCCTTCCCACACGGGTTTATGTGGTTGGACTGGGGAGACAGATAATACCACGACTTGACCGGATTGAACCTGCATGTATATCTATCTGTATTTCATCATGGGAGCAGGGCATCGTTTGCTCATTTTGACAAATGTTCAGTGTCATTTGCAAGGTTCGTGATTCAATCCCAACCAGGAAAGAGGGTTTTCCGTCCTCATCTTGGTCCTCCAACATCTCAGCGATGAAGAATGCAGCTTGAGAAAAGTACGAACCTATAACATCATCCGAGGAACGAAACTTTTGAAGATCTGCGGTTCTACTCGTCAAATCCAGATATCGGCGATTCTATTCCGTCGAGGCCTCTCGTGCGCTTGATGGAAAGGGCGAGAAACGACGGCAACTGGCCAACATGCTGACGGTAACGGGAAACCTCAAAAGAGGAGGTTTGATTGCGATTCCCTATATCTCTGCTAAACTTTCATCTTGGTTCAACGTGGAAATGGTAGTTGCAAGAGCGTAGCATTCTTTCATCTCACGACGTTGATGGACTTTCGGTTGCTTGCATTCTACTTCCGCAAATAAAAGTCCGCTATGATGACCAAAAAAAAAAAAAAAAAAAAAAAAAAAAAACCCCCCCATTATAATTCCAAATTCTATGAATGTCCATCCAAAGACCTAAATCTAGACCCATTTACCTACGGTAGACGTTGACGTTATGGTTCCGATCGTGCGTTGCGTCGTCGCGTTGATCAGACGTCAAGAAAATCGTCCCACAAAGCTCGCACCTCGGACATTTCGCAATAGCGAGATCTGTGAGGTCACGACTCAGCGCACACTCGCCAACTTTGCGAGAGCGGCACATTAAAGTGGAATCATGCCAAGATTGGGGGTTACGATGGTTTACATACACTCTCACTTGGAATGTATCTCACATTATAGCCCGAGGTCAGTAGAAACGAAGTGGGTGCTGGTCTTTCAAGGTGCACTGTAGTAACCAATTCTTATGGTGCCTTGAGCAGTTGAGCTTCGACTTCAATCGAGACTCTGTTGAATGCTCTGATGAATGAAGGAAGTGTGATCGGTCCCATAGGAGCATGCAAAATGCTTCTAGAACTTCTTGCACGTAACGGTTCGTGGCCATTCTCTACGGAGCACAGCAACCAAATCAGGGTCGTCATAATGGTCACGACCCGCGATCTACCGCCTTCTTCCCTGACACGCATCAAGCCCTACGCGACCCGGTCCGCGGAGAAGGGTTTCCCCAGGTCCCAGGTCATGGGCCTTCCGCTAGCCTTCCGCTAGCCCCCCTGTGGGATCATGAATGGGGAATCGTGGAGCCACGAGAATTCTGATCCTTTGGCGTTGATCTCGCTGCTGCGGTTCCGCGCCTGGGCGACTCTTTTTTCCAAGTGTCCCGGGAAATCCCTCGAGGTATTATGTAAACTCCCCAGTGCTACCGTGTCGGCTGGTGCGGCGCAAAAGTGCAGAGTGCACTGATGTGGCGCCGGGACGCGGCAACCGCAGCGGGATTCTTCTTGGCGTTGTAACCCGTAGCCGTGTTGGGGATAGGCGCCGTTGGATTCGTTAGTCTTGGGATAGAAATCGGTTTCGAGGTATTAGATGCAGAGGGATTGAGGCTACAATGCCATCAAGGCGCGGAAAACACAACACCCAAACTTGTCATTGATCCAAGGCTGCCGGGATGGAGGCTGCCCGAAGGAGCTTCCATCCCGTCGGCACGGGCAGAGTTGGAACTTGGAACCCTCGCGGTGATCACTTCAGCCCCCCCGTCCTGCTTGTCAAAAATTTCAGTTTGCTTCCGAATCGAGTCAGCAAGGAATAGGTACTCTGCTCCTCTCTCGCCAAACTTAGACCACCACCTCCGGACGACATTGCGCGAAACTAGCAGGACGGTAAATTGCGATCAAAAGTGACGCAATTAGCTGGACAACCAGAAGCTACAAGCCACTCAAAACGGGAGTGGCGGTGCGACATTGTGTCTCTCGTCGCCAAACATACATGTTTCTCGCCTGTTGATGTGAGGCGTCGGCCACTCGGTACACCTCACCCTCCATGTTCCACCGTCCCTTTCCTCGCCATCTGTCAAATCCATTCTCAGGCACGGAATCAATAGCTGAGGACGCCACTAGAATTGTAAGGAGGAATTGAATGAGGAACAGACACTTGTGTCTGAGTCCCATGTGCCCTGCTCCAACAAAGGCCCCAGCTGTCTCTCGCCTGCAGAATTAGGCTTTGACAAGCGAGGGAGGCTTCGGAGGCGTGGGAGGGTAGCGTTGCTCATTAGATTACTTTAGTGCCAGGAACCACCGCGCCACCAAAGAGCTTTTAATGCTCCTCTAGACTCGGATGCTTGGCCGCCGCACTTGCGACACTTTGACAGAAAAGAGGTTTCTGCGCCTCTCAGACTCTAGGGACGAGTTTCCCGATCCATCTCGCAGCTTGCATGCTGCCACCGGCTGCCACCGGCTGTTACCGGCAGGGCAGAGAGCAGTGACGAGTGACACGTGACACGTGAATGAGGCCTTGATTTCGAGCAGCTCTCACCTGGGAGTATCGCAGACGTATCGTAGATTCAGCCATAGTGGATTTGACCATCAACGAATGTTAACGATTCAACGACTCAGTGTCGCTACGACGATCAGAGAGTGACGCAACTGCAAAACCAATGCCAAAGCCATGACCAAAGTCTAGACCCGTTCACCGCGTAGCATTTGCGACCCTGTGAACCAGTCGGCAGACCTGACGAGCCATGCGAAAGCGGCCGAGCCGCTGACGATTTCGACGTGGTCCTCTGGTCAGGGGTGACCCCCGGCCGCCTGGGAAATGGATCCCGTTGCCGATGTTGTGACCCATTGAACGGGCGCGCGCCGCGGAGATGCAAGATTCAACGACGTGTGGAACTCCGACCCGATGTCAGGCCACCGGCAAGAGGGATGTTACGGGACGCCCGGTTTTTCTGTGGAGGCCAGCGGCCATGAGCGGTCCGCACACATCGTCGACCATTGAGAAGCCTGATATTTGTCAATTGTAACCTTCATGCCGTGGAAATGCTGTACCTTTGTCGTAGAAAATAAATACTGCCCGAGTCTCCCGCTTCTGAAACGGAAAAGAGAAGCAGTATCACTTATTCAGACTTCAGACTTTCGTCACACAGACCAAAAGAAACATCAGGCTTCAGACTGCTGAGCACTAGCTGCAGCACATCATCATCGTCATCGTCACCGTCACCCTCAACATCACCTCCTACTTAACAACCCTTGGTGGATGTTCTTCTCTTTTCAAGACCACTCGTCTTTTGCCAACTTTGGCTCGTCCCACAAACAACCTTGCCCGAGCCTTCTCCATCTCATCCGCCAGAATGAGCCTCACACAAGACCAGATCAACATGGTCAAGTCGACAGCGCCCGTGCTCAAGGTGCACGGCGAAACCATCACGACTCTCTTCTACAAGGAGATGATCGACACCCACCCCGAACTTAAGAACATCTTCAGTCTCCGCAACCAGGCATCGGGGGAGCAACCCCGGGCACTCGCCCAGTCTGTTCTAGCCTACGCCACGTATATCGACGACTTGCCTAGACTCAAAGCTGCCGTTGAGCGCATCGCTCACAAGCATGCGTCGCTGTACATTCGCCCTGAGCACTACGACATCGTCGGCACCCACCTCATGAAGGCAATCGGAGACGTCTTGGGTGACGCACTCACCCCCGAGATCGCCGAGGCCTGGACGCTGGCCTACGGACAGCTTGCGCAGGTTTTCATCGGTCGTGAGAAGGAGATGTACCAGGAAGCCGGCACCTGGACGAACTGGCGCAAGTTCAAGATCATCCGCCGCATCGACGAGTCCGACTCCGTTACCAGCTTCCACCTCGCACCCTCTGACGGCAAGCTGCCCCTGCCCAAGTATCTCCCGGGCCAGTACATCTCCGTGCAGGTCCCGGTACCGCAACTCGGTGGCATCACCCAGCCCAGACAGTACAGTTTAAGCGACGCCGCAACACAGGGCGAGTACTACCGCATCAGTGTCAAGCGTGAGGCGACTGTGGTGGACGCGCCCGGAGAGGACTTGAAGAAGGGTCTGGTCCCCGGCCTCATTTCGAACCTTTTGCACGACGGGTACGAGGTTGGTGACGAGATTGATGTGTCGCACCCGCAAGGAGACTTCTTCCTGGACGCAAAGGAGGCCGAAAAGGCGGATGTGCCGTTGGTGCTCCTCTCGGCAGGTGTCGGCGCAACGCCGCTCATGTCGATCCTCAACACGGTGCTGAGCCCAGAGTCCAAGACGCCGAACCGGCCGATCAAGTGGGTGCACGCGGCACGCAACAGCAGCAACTTGGTATTTGCCAAGCACATCCGGAACCTGACGCGGGAGCGAGACAATGTCAGCGCGCATATCTTCCTCAATGAGGTCAAGGCAGGGGACGAGAAGGGGCAGGAGTACGATTACAAGCAGCACCTCGACCTGAAGCAATTGCCAGAAGAGGAGCTCGGCCTCGCCGACAAGAGAACCGAGTACTATGTCTGCGGGCCGAGGGATTGGATGCTCAATGTGAGACTTGTGTTGGAAGGTTTGGGCGTCGAGAGGGAGAGAGTGAAGCTGGAGCTATTCGCAACTGGTGACGTCGAGCAATAGTCAGTCAAACAGCAATGATTTGAGTATCAGGTTAGACAGGGCTGAGAGAGAGAGAGAGAGAGAGAGAGAGAGAGAGAGAGAGAAAAGAAAGAAAGAAAGGGAAAGATCCGGCTGGGATCTTGCGAAGGGATGATTTGGCGGGGCGACAGGTTTTGGTATCATACTGGAAGAGGTTCTTTTCCTCGCGCGCCTTGCTTCAACTGTAATTGTATGGATAGATAGATACCTCTCTGAGATTTTCAACATTTTGTCATTGTGAACAACAAAATTTGTGTCGAGGAATCGTTACTTTTTTGCCTTGTGTCCTTTTTTCGTGACTTAGCCCTCCCTCGGCCGTGCGAGTTCAAGTTTTTCTTTTCCCCAGCTGCGCTGTTTCGAGGCGATGGATTCTGCGAAAGATTTTCTGACGTGTAGAATTTTTCACGATCTTGCGCACAGGCTGAAAACGAGGCTTCTAGACGCCAAGTCGAATCTTGGGTTGTAGCAAGTTGATGAGGTGTAGAGGATGAAGTTGATATTGGCATCGAGGAACGAGCGTTGTTAATACTACGCCTTCTATCGACTAGGCACTGGATGGAGTCGGGACGGTCCGTTGGTGAACCAGAGTTTGAGATTCTGAACTTGGGCGTTGCGATGTAGCAGCCAAGCAACTCGTTCGTGCCATTGCTATAATGCGTCAAGTAAGCAGCCCGCCGTTGAGATGAAGCTTACGTCCATGGTTCATCGGTTGAGGCGAAAGGGTGTGCGGACGAGGCCCGCGGGGTTCACGAAGAGAGGACTGGACGGAGACCAGGAAAAATGGGTTGGGTGACACAGAGAAAGGTCGTATTCCCGGTAGACCTTGCTTTTTCTCAGCACAGAAAAGTGACGAGTAACTTGGGTTTGGCGCCCAAGTTGTGCATCGTGACGACGGCTCCCAGGACCAGGCGTCGAGACACGGCTTGCAGGCGGGTTGGCTCCCCGAGCGGGAGCTTGCGCGGGAGCGGGTGCGATCCGGGAGGGCAGCTAAATGGTATTGGGACCAGCAGGGAGGCGGTATCATGGCTTTGGGTCCGTCGATCTGCGATGCAGCGATGCAGCGACCCAACGATCCAGCAGCTACCCATGCATGGGGCATCGGATCGACATGGACAAGTAGTCTCGAGAGGATTATCCGTACCTTACCGCACCTCACCTTGCTGCACCGCAGTGGGTGACTTACACCTCGAGACCTCACTGGATCGGCCCAAGGGTTCACTTCGGCCGTGTTTGGTGAGACCACGTGCCCGGGGAGTCGGGGCTCCGGTGCCGAACGCTAAGAATAAAACAGGCAAGACCAGTGGTCCAGGTACGGCCACCTTGGTAGGCCGGGAAAGGCAAGAGGGACGGGTAGGTAGGTAGGTACCTTCAGGTCAGAGTCTGAGGGGGAAGGTACGAGGGCAGAGGAGGAAGTCACGAGGACAGGAGCATTAAGGTACCTAGTAGGAGACGGAAGGCGCACCTCTCCGTCCTCGGCCTCCGGACAGGCCCCCACCTGCCGTTGCCGTCCCCGGATCCGTTGGCCGGAAACAGGTACGTACATTGCGCTGTCATCCGGGTCGGGCGTGCCTTCTTCCCATCTTCCTCGGCCTGGGCGTCACCTCCGTCATTCTCCCTCCCGCCCAACGTTGCCGCCTCAATCATTTCCACTTCTCACCAACACCAACACCAACACCAACGCCATTCACTCATCGACGGGGGACTGCTGTTTTCCCCTTTGGAATGTTCAACTCTCGCTAGAGATTCCGTACGTGGCTGGGCGCGTGCAGTCGTAGTCGCCGCTTCTCCATCTCTTTCGCCCATAGTTTTGCTTCCCTGCGTCAGGACAGGGGGCCCGCGGACATGACAGGGGCTCAATTCCCATCGATCTGGCACCACTAATCTTTTCCTTTCTTAACCATCTTTCTTCTTTCTCTTCCCCTTCCTCTCCGTGCTCTCCTTTCCATTCACGCGGCTCCATCGCCCGTCCCGACGATCAGATTCATCGCCTCCCAGGCTCCAGCTCCTATGTTCCTAGTGAATCGCCTGCGCGCGCTAACTCTCTCACGGTATGGCCTTGGCCTTGGTCATATTCGACTGCTCAGTGCTCACATCGACCCAGGCATCTTGCTCGATGGATCGATGGATCCCCGGAACTGTCCCGGAATAGCCAGGTCCCCAGTCCAATGATCTCACTCATCTTGATCATTTTTCACCCATCGTCGTCGTTCCAGGGGCCTCGGGAAGAAATAATCGAGTGGAATCCTGATGCGCCTAAGGGCCAGAGTTCTGGAAGAGTCAGCTGCATTCCGTCGCGATGCGCCCTTTCCTGCCATTCTGCGACCTGCCGAAACTCATCGCCCACCCAGGGGATACGAATCACAAGGATGGCGACCGTGGAATGCCGGTACTCAAACTCTATCCGCGCATCTTGGCCACACCTCATCAGTCGTCCCCCGTCACGGGACAGTTGGAAGCTGCGACCTGTTCGTATGTACACTTGATACGAAGTAGAGCGGCCTGGAAGCTGGAACTGCCTGGAGCTCGACATTATTCGTGTACCGCATGGGGTCTCCCCAATGACCAATCTCCAACCGACCCTTCTCATGTTCCAGAGATATTGCACCGACGGCCTCCGTGGTCGAGAACCGCTGCCCAGATGCTGCTCAGATGCCGCCCCTCGCCGATGGAAAAGTGTGCCTCGCCGAAGTCGACCTTGCACTCTGATTTGGCAGACTATCTAGCACCCCACGCTGCGTGAGAGTCCTTCAGCGCGCCTCTCTCCATTGTTTTAACGCGTCCAGCCGGCCCCAAAGCCGCCCACGAAACTCTTTTGGGCCCCTCCCCCGTCAATATTGCACCTCGGCGCCAATATCGTTCACATGATGTCGCAGACTCGCAGTGCACTGGCCTAGGGGTCTCGTCTCTGTCGAAGCTGAAGAAATAGTCCGCGGATGCGCGCATCCCGCCATGTAAGGACCCGGGAGACGACAAGCCAAGTCCGAAAGGGAGGGCAGCTGCCATAATGCACTAAACCGCAAATCCAACGCAACCCCATCATGCCATGCTACCGGGTCTGAAGGATGGCCGAGGTGCTGCGATGATACCTAGTGTGTGCTCGAAAATGGGACTCGAGCTGAGCCTGTCAACATACCTACGCGAGTCGTGGTTCACCAGCACGGGCAGTTGCATAATCTGATGCTTCATTCCGTGGAACGGCCCGCATTCGCGCACCTGGCACTGCGACCGCCGACTACCTATGCTACTGCCTATGTGTGCTATGCTAGTACAATGCTGCTGGCTGCATCGTGCCAGCACTGCTCATGGCACTGTCTGGACCATCTGGAACACCAGTTCATCCGACCCAATTGTTGTCATTTCGTTTCGGCCGCAGTCGCCTGAACAATCGCAATCCGCAACAACGAAAACAAAGAATCTGGTCCTTTCAAGCAAGAACATCAAACGACAATTGCATTGATGAGCCGGTGGAAGGCGTCATGCTCTGAACGGTTGGCGAATCCAGCCTCGACGTTACCCGTAACCCGGGGCCACGCAGTGCCCAATCACAACATCCCACTCCATCCTGTCTCACAGATTGATGTGGTGATGCCGCTGACTGACTTCTTGGTGATCCCCCAGAGTCCCAGAATGGTTATGAAGACTGGGCTGCCACGAGTCGAAGGCTGGGCGACGCGGCCTCTTCCGCCTTTCCCACCTTGTGCAACGCACCTCGGTTTCTCGTACCTTTTCTTTTTTTTTTTTTTTTTTTTTTTTTTTTTTTTTTTTTTTGGGTGTCTTAATGTTTTCCTCAAATGACCTCCCTTGACACAGGATTCCAACTTTGTCTCCAGACAGAGCAGCAAGGTTCTTTGGCCCAAGAAGTTTCGGTTGTATCAACCATTCGTCGTGTTATCCTCTTTTACTCCGTAGGATACTCCGTACGGAATCCCGCCGTTCCTATCGAATTGCAAGGGTCTGACAGCCCAAACAACAACTCTAGCTGTGCCAGATCGCTAGCTTTCCTTAAGCTATTTGCGCCATCACGCTGGGTCGCCCTCTGACGTCCGGATTTGACCATGGCACGGCGGATACCAGAAGCTTGCAAGGGTCCGTCTTGAGGGGTAGTGTCGATGATCCTTGCTAGCAAGCAAGCCACCCACACCTTGGAGCTCCTCGATATCGCGCACTAAAACTGCATTCTCCCCAATCCGGCACGCAGCTCTAAGGGAATGCACGTTACTCACCGTCGACGGCGCGCCAGCGGCCAGCCTACTCTCATGCTCTGCTCATCATCGACATCGTCTCCCGCTTGCCATCCAACCGCGCCCGCCAACTGCCCGCCTACAGCGCTTACTTGGCCTTCCCGCACGACAAAGAGACGGCGCCTTCCTGCCACCTTCTCGGCCGTATCCTTACCGATCTAACCTGCTTAAACCCACAACGGGCCCTACTCAACGGCCTCTCGTCGCAAGGCTGTCTCCTAGTCCACGACAATTTCCCACCATGACTTTCCTTAGTCAACTACGGCATTACTTTTTTTTTTTTCCCCCGATGAAGATGCTGTTACTGGGCCTCCCCATTTGTCAACTTCGGCCATGGTTGTCCCCGTGCTGCCTCCGAACTTCACCGAGCGAGGCAAAAAGAGGCACAGAGGTCAGCCTGCCGGCGTGCTCGCCCGGTTGGTGCGGGATGCCTCCCCTCTCGTCTTAGCTGACCATCGTGCCTGAGGTCATCACGGCACGGCATCAGTAACCCCCCGCCCCCCTGGCAATAACGCACTGTGACAATCGTAGGATTCCAGATTGCATCGATCACTTGGAGCTCCCATCTCATCTGGTACACTGCGGCGCAAACACGGGGTACCCTGGTCGAAAATCCAGATTGCCGGGTTCGCAGCCACCAACAAATATTTGGCGACAAACAACCACGCAAACCAACCCAGCAAAGGAAGCAAACAACCCTTGAATCCTTACAATTTCCACGCATAACGGGCAAACATGTCTACGCAACCGTTAGACGGGTTTTTTTTTTTCGGGCTTGATTTCTGGGTCTTGACTGAAATTGCTCCATTTATCGGCTAAGCAACATCGGCTTGGCTTCATCCCGCTTGCCCGGTGTCGTGTCGTCGTGTCAGGTCGTATCGTCCATCCCCGAGTTCTCCGACTCGCCAAGTTGGCAATCGAACTGAATCTGGACTCTACTCGAGCCAAGGCGGCTCTCTCCATTGGCTGCGTTGCGAGAATCACGGCGACTACGGAGACTAGGAGACTAATCCAAGCCGTCGTGGAGTCTACTTACGTGGTAGACTGGCTCCTCGTTGAAAAGCTTCCCGAAGCCGCGTTGACAGTTTGATGGATCTTGGCCAGAAGGCTCGATGGGACGAGGCAGAGGCGGCGGGGAGGGCTTCGCCGTTATCTCTGCAACCTTGTGACATCTGACATGGGGCAAGCGATCCAACTCGAACCCGAGGCTAGGCGTCGAAAGCTCGAATCGCGATCATGGTCGCACAGCATCTGGTGCCTGCGCCGCGCTGCACCGTTTTCCTGAAGAAGATGGGTGCTAAATGTGACGTCCATCGACGACGCCGTCAAAGCAGGATCACCACTTGCCCCTTAGCCATTCCTTGGCACACAAACTCGGGGGCCCGCCCTTTCAGCCACTTTCTGCATGCTCTTGCGGTCCCTGTCGACCATGAGAGACCATAGGAGAGACCAAGTGGTCCAAGACCATGCCGCGCGGTGGTGGGGAAGTGGATTGGAGTACCTACCTAGGAGCTTCGGCTCGACTCGACTCGACGGTGGGTAAGAGACTCAGACAGACGCCACACCTGGCGGATGGTGGCCCGTCATGGTGAGAAAAAAGGTCTTTATGTTTTCTCTCTCTAGAGAAAGCTTTCTTTGTCGTTTTTCTATACCACATCTGTCCAAACCTTTTCTGAGTTCTGACACTTCGTTTTTGCATGTTTCATCGTCTCCATAGACAGGGACCCTGGTGGAGCTTCCGACCCCTTGCAAGTGATCCTGGGCTGTCTAGTGCAGCTCTGTGCAGTGTGCAGATTGAAGAGAGGAGAACTGGAGACGCGTATCTCTCTCTGTCTGCGAGCTAGTGGAGCAGGTTTCTTCTTTCAGGCATCGCCCTCTCATACTGTCTAGCTGTCTAGTAATGAGCATCGGATCGCTGAAGTCACGCAAGGTCTGTACCGTGGTGCTGGGCCGCCGGGGAAGTGCCCATTGGTTGCCCGGGCGAGCAAGCGGTGGTGTTCTCCTCGATTCGAACGAACCAGACTGGATGGACTGGAGGACACTTGAGTCTGTAAGGTCAGTTCTTCTGTACACCCCCTTTCCACTCCCTCCTCCTCCTCCTCCTCCTCCTACCTTGGGAACCCTACGGATACCTTACCCTACTCCCATATCCCGGTCCGTAGTTCTGGGGAGGTTAGCCCAGATGCTATTTCTTTCCAGTCCGAGGGGACAAGGTGCCAGCATCCTCGCCCACATTCGCCATGTTTTACTATCTCGCTCCAAGGCTAGCCGATGATTGTCCAATCAAGGTGGCCCGGCACATCCAGTGCTTTTTCGACCGAGCGGGCTATGGTTGCGGCGAGGAATGGATCGGCTCGGGTCGTATCGTAGTCGATGCTCTTCGGTACCTCTCGCCTGCTCGCTGGATCTCTCTCTTTTTGCCTGCACTTCATTAATGGTACTCTTGTCCCCGGTCGAGAGAAAAGCATTCATGCGTAGCTGTCTCATTGACTAGGGATCAGAGAGCCCACTTCTTGGTCGAATGGATCCAGGCCTATTTGACTACACACCTCCCCTCACCCCCGACTCTCTGGAATTCCCTCGCAAATTGTTCTTGTTTTGCAAACGCCGAACCATGGCAGTGACAATGTCTGACGGTCCGATTCGGAAGGCTTGCGATCGGTGTCATAGGCAGAAGCTGAGCTGTAAGCGCGTCGGCGATGAAGCCTGTGAGCGCTGTATCAGACTCAAGGAAGAGTGCACTTCGAGCCCTTCTCTGCGTTATCGCAAGCAACACAACCACCACAACCAATACGGCTCAACAGCAGAGGTTGTACGAAGAGCCATCCCGACTCCCAAGCGGCAGCGTACAGAGAGCGGGTCCGCCCAAGTCACACAGTCCGATCAAGGTGAGTCTTGGTGTCTTTGACTTGTCTAGAATAATCCTCCCTTTACTGACGAAATTTAATTTTTTTTTTTGCCTCGTGTAGTTATCGTCAAGACCCAACATGATGGTCCCGTCTGTGGTAACACGGCATTTGGAGACAATGCTGTCGTTTCACCTGATGCCATGCTTGACATGGTCGACTTCGACTTCGGCTTCGGTAACTCTGCCGGCCTCTATCAACCCAGCACAAACCAACAGCAATTACCCCAGACTTTCACCGGAGCCATGGACGATCTGATGTCAGGACATGGAGAATCCATTACCCATCCATGGAGCCCAGTCCACTCGACAACTTCAGACTCGGCATTCACCTCACCCATGGCTCCGCAAGCAGACCAGGTCGGCCGGGTCTATCTCGGAAGCCCTGCGTTGCAAAGGCAATCTTCTTCAAGATGGAGTAAGCCACATGACTTTACTCCACCGCGGAGAGCAAGGAAGCGTGTCAAGCAAAGAACAAGGCAGATCATGCTCCGGCCGTATGCTGCTGGCCAAGGACCATCGGCTGGAGAGTGGATGCCTCGCATCACCGAAGTCAACTCCCGGCTCTTTGAGCTGTCGTCGAGTCTACCCGCGCACATCGACTCATCATCCGAGGAGCCCGGCCGATCCAGCATAGCCTCGACACCCGATGACGGAAGCTCAACCACGGCACCTTTCCCTGTTGATGAGATGTTCAAACTCTCTCGACACTTTGCAGACCTTCTTGCGGAAATGTCTCCACCGATGGAGGCCGCCTCTCCCGCAAGCGATGGCGGGAACTCTGTACTAGCTAAAGGGCTCAACTCCTTGTCGGATCCGGCGACCTGTCTCTTCGTCCTCTCGACGTATGTTCGGCTTCTAGACATGTACCAGAAGGTCTTCAGCTGCATTCACTCAGAGCTAAATCAGCTTGAGTCGGGTCATCTGTTTTTGTCATGGAAGCTTCCTGGCGTCACCGTGGGCTCCTTTGCCGTCGACTCGGCACCGTCTCTGCAGATGTCTCTCACGATTCAGTTAGCGGAGGAGTTTCTTCTACAGATGCGGCGAGCATCTGCATCACTTGATCCGACTCTGCGATCGGATGGTTCATCAGCGGGAAAGGCCCCTGATGCAGCCTCAATGTTCTCTGGAGTGGTGGATGTCTCATTTCAGGCACTCAAGAGACAAGAAGAGAGTCTAGGCAAGGAACTAAAGGATCTACGTAAGGCGATGGAGACTTCTCTCGACGGATGAAGACGAAGCCAAGGTGTGTAATCATGTTAGATAGTGCAAATTTGTTGTATTAGGCGCCTCAGCTTGCTTCTCAATATGCTTAGTGGGAAATGGGACGACGGATGGAGTTGTGTCATGGAGTTCACGGGATCGGATGGAGTTACTTTTAGACATGAGGAGCCAAGACAGCCTCAATCTGAACCACGCGGGACAAAGAAACGTCTTTCATGTGCAGGTACCCCATATTCTCCACGAGGAAGATATGCACGTTGATACATTGACTTTGTGAAGGTTAAAGGTCACTACGGAACGGATCGCGCTTCCGAAATTCTTGAGTCCAGGACCGTTTTCGTCGTTAGGTCTCTCTCTCGAGTGTCTGATGACATCGGTTGCTCCCAGCGCCGAAACAAGTCGCTTTCACACGCGTTGGATGAGCCTTCGTTGAAGAAGAGGCGCCGTCTTATCAAGCCTCCCGGGCGGCGGCCGATGGCGTCCGCGAGACCGAGATCGAGAGACTGGCTGACTAAATAATAAGTCGGAATCCCGTTTGTTTGCTGGCAGCTAAAATAGTCAACGCCGAACGTGCACGCCAAAAAAGAATCCCGGCGACCGTTCGAGACACTCGGGCACGGAACTCCGAACCACCCCCTTCGATCCACCAACAGACAAACCATCACCGAACCTCAACTCTTCCCACACTCCCACACGCCCCCCCCCCCCCCCCCCCCCCAGTTCCTCTTCAGCACACCCCCGTACCGTGGGGGATCTTGGATCTTAGGTCTTGGGTCTTGGGTTTCTGGGTGCTTGGGTCTAGGCGGAGTAAGGCGGTTTGCCCCCTTACTTTTTTGACATGGGCACAGGCATCATGGCATCGACACTGTCCGCCAGGGAGGAACCATCGCGAGGTTTAATATTGTTGCTGCTATCGAAGTGATTGTCTATATATCCCTTCACATCGCACCGTCCAGTATGATGTGTTTCCCCCTGATCACCACAGCCCTTCCCATTCTTCTCTATTGTTATACCTCTTACATCCATCTTCACGCATCGAACAATTCTACCCACGTGTCGACGACTTACACGGAGTTTTATACTCTTCTCTTTTCTCTCTCTCTCTCTCCACCCCCCCCACCCCATAATACCTAATTATCCTAGAAATACCCCTGACAGCAATGTCTACCTACAAGAGACCCCAGTCAGAGCCTATCGCCATTGTTGGCACAGGTTGTCGATTCGCTGGCGACGTAACATCACCAACAAAACTCTGGGATCTTCTCACCAACCCCAGACAACTATCACAAGAGGTCCCGAATAACCGGTTTAACGCCCAAGGGTTCTACCACCCAGACGGCGAATACCATGGAGCCACCAACGCAACACAGGGTTACTTCCTCGAGGAAGATCACCGCGTATGGGATGCCGGATTCTTCAACATCACACCAAAGGAGGCTGAGGCCATCGACCCTCAACAACGAATCATTCTCGAAGTCGTCTACGAAGCCTTGGAATCGGCCGGATACACACTCGAGAAATACGCTGGCAAGAAGGTTGCCGTATACGCTGGACTCATGACCCAAGATTACGACTCATTATGCCAAAGAGACGACATTACATCGAACCAGTACTTCGCCACCGGCAACTCAAGAGCTATTCTCTCCAACAGAATCTCATACTTCTTCAACTTCCGCGGTCCTTCCATGACCATTGATACAGCATGCTCATCAAGTCTCGTCGCTCTGCACCAGGCCGTGTTGAGTCTCCGATCTGGCGAGTGTGAGATGGCCTGCGTGGCCGGTGCCAACTTGATGATCACCCCCGAGCAGTTCATCAGCGAGGCCAGTCTGCACATGCTCAGCCCTACAGGTACGTCGAAGATGTGGGATGTAAGTGCAGACGGATACGCCCGCGGTGAAGGCTTTGCAGCCCTGTTCATCAAGCCCCTTTCACAGGCTTTGAGAGACGGTGACTCCATCATCAGCATCGTGAGAGAGACCGGCGTCAACTCGGACGGACGCACTCAGGGTATCACCATGCCCAGCCCCCTCGCTCAAGCCGAGTTGATTCGGGACACGTACCGTAGATCCGGTCTGGACTCCCAAAACCCCATCGATAGACCTCAATACTTCGAGGCCCACGGAACGGGCACCCAGGCCGGCGATCCCAGGGAGGCTCAGGCCATTTCAACGGCATTCTTCGGCAACGAGGCCAAGACTACTGCCGAGAGTGTCGACAACAAGCTTGTGGTCGGATCCATCAAGACGGTCATCGGCCACACGGAAGGCGCCGCGGGCCTAGCCGGCCTGCTTAAGGTGGTCCACTCCATGATCAACAACTGCATTCCACCCAACCTGCATCTCAACACCCTCAACCCTAGCGTGAAGCCGTTCTACGGCCACCTCCGTATCCCTGTCGACATCGTCCCTTGGCCCCAGGCCCCGACTGGCCAGCCCCTCCGAGGAAGCGTAAACTCCTTCGGCTTCGGCGGCACCAACTCCCATGCCATCATCGAGAGGTATGAGCCGAGCATCCACGACGAAGTCGCGAAGCACTTCGCTCCGGCCCTGGAGACGCCAGTCCCCTCGCTCACCACCACCTCCTCCTATGATGCCGAAGCGCCCGCCGTTGGCCTTCCTCTAGTTATCTCCGCCAAGTCCCAGAAGTCTCTCGTCGCCGTGGCCCAGGCCCTCCGCGACTTCATGGTGTCCACCGACAAGTCGGCCGACGAGGTCGCTTACAACTTATACGCCCACCGTTCGGCCCTGACCTACCGCACTGCCATCAGCGCGGACTCCCGCGATGGAGTCATTGCCGCGCTTGACAACCTCCTCTCCAAGGCCGGGTCTTCTTCCAACCCAGAGCTTGGTGTTCGCGCCAAGCTCGACGGCGGCGAAGTCAAGATCCTCGGCATCTTCACTGGTCAAGGAGCGCAGTGGTCTGGCATGGGTCGCAAGCTCTTCCACTCTAGCAGCGTCTATCGGAACACCATTGAGAATCTCGAGAGGGTTCTCGAGGCTTGCCCCCACCCTCCCACGTGGTCACTCATCGAGGAGCTCATTCACCAAGAGGACTCTTCCCGCATCAACATTGCCGCTCTCTCCCAGCCTCTTTGCACGGCGGTGCAGATCGCTCTCATCGATCTCCTCGGCAGCATCAATGTCTCCTTCCACACTGTCGTCGGTCACTCATCCGGCGAGATCGGTGCTGCCTATGCCGCCGGCGTGCTTAGCGCCCGCGATGCCATGCTCATCTCCTACTACAGGGGTATGTCTGCTCACCTTGCCGGCGGCAAGGATGGACAGAAGGGCATGATGATGGCTGTCGGTATGACCCGCGCCGAGGCTTCAGCCCTCTGCGCCCGGGATGACATCAAGGGCCGTATCTGGGTCGCTGCTAGCAATGCACCGTCCAGTGTCACCCTTTCTGGAGACGTGGACGCGGTCAAGGCACTTCAGGTTGAGTTGACCGAGGAGAAGAAGTTTGCTCGTCTTCTTGTTGTCGATACTGCCTACCACTCGGCCCACATGGAGAGGCCGGCGGCCCAGTACATGGAAGACTTGGCTGGCTGCGGCATTGAGCCGAGACAGCGCAACTCGACCGTCTGGATCTCCAGTGTGTATGCTGATGGCACGGAGCCAAGCATTGAAGAGCTCAAGGGTCCTTACTGGAAGGACAACATGGTCAAGGCCGTCTCCTTCTACGAGGCAATCGACCTTGCTCTCAACTCCCAAGGCCCCTTCGCCAGTGCCGTCGAGGTCGGTCCTCACCCCGCGCTGAAGGGTCCCGTCCAGCAGACTGTCAAAGCTGCCACTGGTGGCGCTCTGTCGTACGCCGGCCTGCTTGACCGCAAGAAGGATGACAGACACGCCTTTGCCGAATTCCTGGGCTTCACATGGAACTACTTTGGCACCGATGCCATCGATTGGAACCTTCTCGTTGCACAGTCTACCCAGCCTGGTCTCTCGTCTTCGAGACTGGAACTGCCTTCCTACCCATGGGACCACAGCCAGATGCACTACCGTGAGTCTCGCATCGCCCACCAGTATCATTTCCGCGAGAGGGGACCTCATGAGCTTCTTGGTGTCCGTACTCGCGACGATACGGAGTTTGAGATGAGATGGCGCAACATCCTCAAGCTTGAGACTGTCCCTTGGATCCAGCACCACAAGTTCCAGGGCCAGGCTCTGCTTCCTGCTTCTGCCTACTGCGTGCTTGCACTGGATGCTGCCAAGGCTGTTCTCAATGGTCGTGAGGCTTCGGTTGTTGAGCTTACGGATCTCGAGTTCATGAGCGGTATCTCCCTGGAGGCCAACACGTACGGTGTTGAGATTTTGGTCTCGTTGAGCATCGCGCCCCCTTCCACCAAGGGCCGCTTGGCTGGTAAGATCATTGAGGGTGTCTTCACCATCACGTCCTGCTACGCCGATGGTGTCACTCCCATGCAGAAGAACTTTACCGGTAACCTTCGCATCTACCTTGGCGAGCCTTCCGAAGATGCCCTTCCCACACGCGACCCCTCCATGGCTGAGACGCTTCCCGCCGACACCGACTCCTTCTATCAGATGATGTTGGACATCGGCTTGGATTACACCGGTCCCTTCCGCGCTCTCCAGAGCATCGATCGCAGATACAACTTCTGCTCGGCTACTCTCCAGAAATTCCACGGCACTGATACCACGGTACTCGGAGTCAGCCCCGCCACCCTGGACAGCTGCTTCCACTCCGTGTTTGCCGCTGTGGCTTCGCCCGGCGACAAGTCTCTGTGGACTTCTTTCCTTCCCAGAAGCATTGAGAAGATTCGCTTCAACCTCGCGCTCTGTGATGGCAAGCCTGCAGACAACGCATCCCTGCTCGTCGACTCAGTCATCACTCAGGAGATTCCTCGCACTAAGACCGCGACGACCAAGTTTGTAGGCGACATGAGCATCTACAACCCCGATGGCGAGATGGAGATCCAGGTTGAAGGCCTCATGGTGGCTTCTTTTGCCAACTCTAAGCCCGAGGACGACAAGGAACTCTACCTC